TCTCTCTGGTCTATCTCTCTCTGGTCTATCTCTCTCTGGTCTATCTCTCTCTCTGGTCTATCTCTCTCTCTGGTCTATCTCTCTCTCTGGTCTATCTCTCTCTCTGGTCTATCTCTCTCTCTGGTCTCTCGCTCTCTGGTCTCTCTCTCTCTGGTCTCTCTCTCTCTGGTCTCTCTCTCTCTGGTCTCTCTCTCTCTGGTCTCTCTCTCTCTGGTCTCTCTCTCTCTGGTCTCTCTCTCTCTGGTCTATCTCTCTCTCTGGTCTATCTATCTCTCTGGTCTATCTCTCTTTCTGGTCTCTCTCTCTCTGGTCTATCTCTCTCTGGTCTATCTCTCTCTGGTCTATCTCTCTCTGGTCTATCTCTCTCTGGTCTATCTCTCTCTGGTCTATCTCTCTCTGGTCTATCTCTCTCTGGTCTATCTCTCTGGTCTCTCGCTCTCTGGTCTATCTCTCTCTGGTCTCTCTCTTTACAGCAGTTACATATCACACATGATAGAAACATACAAACATTCAGATACTTTGACAGTGAGAGGTTAACATGGGCTTCAATGGTGAGTTCTACATCATCTTAAAGCTTATATTCTCTGGATCACAACCACATTCTTTAAGTTAATGAATAAACTCGGATTCTGGCTTCCTGCTGCTGCCCAGAGTCAGGACGAAACATGGAGAGGCGTAAGCATATGAAACAGTCTTCCTGAAAATGTGAGACAGGCTTCTTCTCTGACACTGAAGACTGTACGTTTTTGGCCTCTCCACACCTCCTTCAGAATCCACTCAGGCCATCGTCACAATCTGCCCACAGAGAGCAGGAGGTCGTCAGCTCCACCCCTCACCCCCCACCAACAAGCACCTCAACCCCCCTCCTCCCCAAACAAAAGAGAGGGAGGGGGAGGGAGGAGAGGGAGGAGAGGGGGGGGGGGGGGGGGGGGGGGGGTGTCCTGCCTGAGCTTTGCAACCCAACATTCCAATCACAAAGGAAAAGTTCAATTAGAGCCTGCTTCTATGTGCCCCACACCAGCCCAGTGTTCGGCCCAAACAAAGCCCGGGCTCTTCTGGGACCCTTGGACAGACCCTCGGACAGACCCTCCAGCGGCTCCAAAGCGAGGGAGACCAGAGAGAGACCAGAAAGAGAGACCAGAGAGAGACCAGAGAGAGAGAGACCAGAGAGAGACCAGAGAGAGACCAGAGAGAGACCCGAGAGAGACCCGAGAGAGACCCGAGAGAGACCAGAGAGAGACCAGAGAGAGACCAGAGAGGGAGACCCGAGAGAGACCCGAGAGAGACCAGAGAGAGACCAGAGAGAGACCAGAGAGAGACAAGAGAGAGACCAGAGAGAGAGAGCAGAGAGAGAGAGACTAAAGCGAGAGAGCAGAGACTAGAGAGAGAGACCAAAGAGAGACATAAGAAAGAGAGACTAGAAAGAGACCAGAGAGAGAGACCAGAGAGAGACCCGAGAAAGACCAGAGAGAGACCAGAGTGAGAAAGCGGGTCCTCGGTCCGCTCTGTGTCCGTCCCATGTTGCCAGCACACACCACTGTCGAAGGGCACAAGGGCCGGGGGGAGATTTATAGCGGTCCGCGAAGGTAAAGCATAAAAGTGGGTTTTGGAGAAGCAAACTGGCCTTCAGACAAGATTACATCCCACAAATTTATATCCCTCATTTGTCATCGGGTGCCAGGTATGTCGGGCGCCTGTCAATACTTTCAGGGCATTTCTCAGTCTAGCAGCAGAGTTAAAGAGGCGACATGTCTGATGGTTTAGAGACAGTAATGACAGGATTTTATAGGGCTGTAAAGATGAAGGTGTGAGGGGTGGTTATGAATGCATGCAGAATCAGAACCAGAACAATTGTTATTGCCATGTAAGTAACAGGAAGGCACACACTGGCTCTTGTGGCAATCAAGTCAAAAGTAGAGTCGGATAAGGCATAAAAACCATATTTACGCTCCGGGTTCTAACACCGCGTGAGTTGTGTGGTCCGCTTTTTATCTGTTTTATATAATTGTACTGTTTTTTCTTTTATTCTTAACCCTCTTGGCGCCAAAGCAGCAGAATTACTCCTAAATCCAGCACACTTTCTATACAGTGACATGGCTATTATTTCAAAATATAGTGTTTTTATTTCTATTTTTTAAACATATAGAGCTGGCAAACCTGTATAATTAAATGTGTTAATGTTATATCTGTGTAGCACTTTGGACATTTGTTTTGTAAAATGTGCTATTATATTTTCTTTTATAACTGTTTGTCTGTTGTGTTTGTTTTTTATGGACTTCGAGTCTGATAAATAAAGATACTAATAATAATAATATATATAAAGTGTATTGGATCTTTGCATGTATCACATTTGCCTTGACTTTCAACACCAGGTTCTACTGTTTTACAGTGTACACATGTATTTCTTTTGAATATGTGACTAAATGGGAAGTACTTATGTGCCAAACATATAAACTGACATTATCTTTTAAGTATGGCTGTAATCTTTATGTAGTTCAGACAATTTTAGACTGAAAAGAATCGAATGGACTATTTTCCTCGAGCACTATTTAGTTTAGGGGCTATACTTCTAGAACCAATTCTCAGGCAAAAGTAGTGCCCTGCTGTTATAAATTAAAGAATAGATCACAGACTAGTATTTCTGAACAGGACCAGACACACACACACACACACACACACACACAGGACCTGCACCACACACTTTGTTAACGATGACAAATCATGAGTAAATAACACAGATCCGCGTCCAGCCGCGGCCGGAGCCAGGAACACACAGAAAACGCACTGGAGCTGTCAGTGTGGAGTGAACCATAAACTACGGGACTCACCTGGTCCTCACGGTGCTACGTCGCGTCGGGTACGTGTCGTAACCGAGTCCTGGTCCTGGTCCCGGTCCCAGCGCCTCCGTGAGTCCACCTCAGCCCGTCCTGGAGCGCATGACGTGCCACAGCCTCCGCAGCGAACACGCTGGTCCTGGTCCAAGGTCCAAGATCCTGAGCCAGACGCAGGTCCAAGATACTGGTCCAGACGCAGGTCCAGGCAGATAGACCTCCTGTAGACCCACTCCTTTCACCCAAACCTCCGGGACGTGTGGTCGTACTCCTCCCCGTGCGTGATGGAGCCTGGTTACAGTGATGCCCGGTGCTCGGTGCCACCCACTCGGTAAAGCCCGCGCGGTACGGGCGGAGAATAACAATGAGGTCTGCAGAGAGAGTCCCTCTCTCCCGGGCGCGAGACCGGAGGGAGTTTGGCCCCAGATCACAGCGAACAGGAGACGCTCAGGGAAATCCGACACTCAGGCGCATGGGGGCCGCGTGCCATGCTCCAACCGGAGCGACCGCGGGACACCTGTTGACAAACACCCCGTCCCAGACGCGACCTCCTCCTGTGGTCACACATACATCAAAACATGCAGTAACATACATGTGCATGTCAGACTGTAACATACATGTGCATGTCACTGTAACATACATGTGCATGTCACTGTAACATACATGTGCATGTCACTGTAACCACTGTAACATACATGTGCATGCCACTGTAACCACAGTAACATACATGTGCATGTCACTGTAACCACAGTAACATACATGTGCATGTCACTGTAACATACATGTGCATGCCACTGTAACCACTGTAACATACATGTGCATGTCACTGTAACCACTGTAACATACATGTGCATGCCACTGTAACCACAGTAACATACATGTGCATGTCACTGTAACCACAGTAACATACATGTGCATGTCACTGTAACCACAGTAACATACATGTGCATGTCAGACTAACCACAGTAACATACATGTGCGTGTCACTGTAACATACATGTGCATGTCACTGTAACCGCAGTAACATACATGTGCATGTCAGACTGTAACCACAGTAACATACATGTGCATGTCAGACTGTAACCACAGTAACATACATGTGCATGTCAGACTGTAACCACAGTAACATACATGTGAATGTCACTAACATACATGTGAATGTCACTGTAACATACATGTGCATGTCAGACTGTAACCACAGTAACATCCATGTGCATGTCAGACTGTAACCACAGTAACATCCATGTGCATGTCAGACTGTAACCACAGTAACATCCATGTGCATGTCAGACTGTAACCACAGTAACATACATGTACATGTCAGACTGTAACCACAGTAACATACATGTGCATGTCAGACTGTAACCACAGTAACATACATGTACAGACCACAGACTGTATTTATACAGATGTTCAAGAAGCCTCTCGCAAGATAGAAATATGACACATGCAATATTGTTATACTGTCATGTAGTAGGAGTACTGTCAGACTGTAGTAGGAGTACTGTTGTACTGTCAGACTGTAGTAGGAGTACTGTTGTACTGTCAGACTGTAGTAGGAGTACTGGTACACAGGAGAGTTTAATGTTTCCACGTGGCCCCATTTCACACATACATTAAAGTAGGCTACAGCACAATGAGAAGTGCTGACCCTGTTCATCAGTGAAGAGACACTGCAGAAAGTCACTTAGATCTACTCTATTCTGCCTGTATAATAAAATAACAGGAATTATACTTACTGTTCTTATTATGTAACATTTACAGCCATTTAAGAATAATTCACAGCGACTTATCTCTGTATAAATTGTGCTTTTACTGTCATGTTCGTGCATTACACTGAAATTTTTTCCCACGTGGGACAGATAAAGCTTCTCTTCTTTTTTATGTAGTGTTTCTCTTTTAGAAATCTTAATTCAATGGCTACAACGAACCAATGTAAGACAAACAATATAGTTATATAGTTTTTGAACCTTTGTCACAGCTAAACGTGGAGGTATACTGCCCCCAACAGGCGGTATGAGTAATTACAATGACAAAACATGACTCAACAATTTGGTGAATTCAGACACAAAACACAAGCAGCCAGAGACATGTAATTACAATTTATTTTTGCCAACAAGCATTAAAAATATTAAATATGTGTGTGGTAAATATTAAAGGAAAACAAAGTCAGTTCAAGCGGCTCTTTTTGAGCTTGGAATGGTCGGATGCATTTTTGCGTTTGCGAGACGGCGTGCTGGGGGATTCTTTGGAGTGGGCGTCGGTCAGATAGTACAGCTCGATGGGTGGGGCTGGCTCCTATTGGAAAAGTGGAATATGAACAAATGAGGAGAAATAAATACAGTACAAATGAGGATGATTGAGAGTGATCCCGACCTGCATGAGGTAGTCTGCGATGTACTCCGGCCTCAGACACGTCACTCCCTGCGCGGACGCCTCACATATGTCCACTCGGAAGTCTCCAGGCTTCAGGCGGCTGAAGTCTGCAAACAGGTGACTGGTCTCTTTGTACAGAGACGGAGAAGGACTGGGCAGAACCTGAAAGAAGACCGAACTCCGCTTTTATACTGCTTTTATACTGCTTTTCACAGACCAAAGCGGTGTTAACGATTGTGGGCATTTGTCTGTCCCTCAAACAGAGATGGGAGCGGGGTCAGTGCAGGAGGTGAATGCTAGACCTATGGTTATGTTTTTAGTGGTAGGGGAAACTGGAGCACCCGGAGGAAACCTATGCAGACACGAGGAGAACATGCAAACTCCACTCACAAGAATCACACAAGGAAATAAAATCATAATTAATCACAGTACATTATTAGTTTTTTCAGCTTCTTTTTTCAGAAGCCAGTCTCAAATGGTGCCTCCTCATGTCCTGACTCTGGGCACCAGCAGGAGACCAGTACCTGTGCTCCTCAGAGTCCCAGCAGGAGACCAGGCCAGTCCCTGTGCTCCTCAGAGTTGGTTCATATGGCACTAACATGTCACAGATGGACTTGGGTGCGAGGCCGTAGAGACTTCACACAACCAGAGCTGCTTCACAGTCCACTCTCTACATGAAGATATTTGAAGTACATTGTATTTAAAGAAGTCCTCACCTTGGCTCCTCCTGACTGCAGTAAGCGCCTGAAGCCGGTGTCTCTGCTCGAGTCGATGTTCAGCATCACTGTCCAGCCGGTGAAGGAGCCCTGAAACATCACGATAGCACCAGGTCAGGGGTCAGCCACGGCGACAAAGACAACACCTCACACATACTGCACAGCACAAGGTTAAGATTAGGAGGTCCTTTAATCTTCCCACTGTGCGGACATTTCAGAGTTGCATCACAAGTTACAGAACAGAAGGAATGAGGAGCAGACAGCACCAGATAAATGAATAATAACTCTAGAATAAAATAATACAAATCTCTAAATCTAGCATACAATCTCTATATTTAGCATAATAAGGAAATAAGTATTAAAAATCAACTTCAACTTTAGCATCATGAGGAAGCAAGATTTAAGTACAAAAACCTGACTTTAGCATTATAAGGAGAAAGTATAAAATTCTGTATATAAGTAAGATATAGTTGTGTGTTTACATCTGTACATGTAAACTGCTAGCTGATAGCATTGTTGTTAGAATATTTGGCTAACGCTCAAACGGCACAGCCAAATCTCACAAAATCCAAATTGTTTTTCCTCCTCGTATCTATCCACATACGTCCAACCTCTACAGTGTTCTCTCCATCTATCCTCTACAGCGTGAGGGAGCGTTTGTTTTCTGCACCTGTTGATCCGAGCGTCCCTGCAGAGTCTTCCTCCAGCGCATCGCCGCCAACGCCAGCCTCTTCTGCTGCGACGTGATGGAGGGCAGAGCGCTGAGGATGGATCTACTGCCCCATTCGTAATCCTCCTCCTGCGAACACACACACACACACACCTCAGCGTCTCTGGGGTCGTGGCGAGGCACACAAACACACAAACACACCTCAGCGTCTCCGGGATCGTGGCGAGGCACACAAACAGACACACACCTCAGCATCTCTGGGATCGTGGCGAGGCACACAAACACACACACACCTCAGCATCTCTGGGATCGTGGCGAGGCACACAAACACACACACACCTCAGCGTCTCCGGGATCGTGGCGAGGCACACAAACACACACCTCAGCGTCTCCGGGATCGTGGCGAGGCACACAAACACACACACACCTCAGCGTCTCCGGGATCGTGGCGAGGCACACAAACACACACACACCTCAGCGTCTCCGGGATCGTGGCGAGGCACACAAACACACACACACCTCAGCGTCTCCGGGATCGTGGCGAGGCACACAAACACACACACACACACACACACACCTCAGCGTCTCTGGGATCGTGGCGAGGCACACAAACACACACACACCTCAGCGTCTCTGGGATCGTGGCGAGGCACACAAACACACACCTCAGCGTCTCTGGGATCGTGGCGAGGCACACAAACAGACACACACCTCAGCGTCTCCGGGATCGTGGCGAGGCACACAAACACACACACACCTCAGCGTCTCTGGGATCGTGGCGAGGCACACAAACACACACCTCAGCGTCTCTGGGATCGTGGCGAGGCACACAAACAGACACACACCTCAGCGTCTCCGGGATCGTGGCGAGGCACACAAACACACACACACCTCAGCATCTCTGGGATCGTGGCGAGGCACACAAACACACACACACACCTCAGCGTCTCTGGGATCATGGCGAGGCACACAAACAGACACACACCTCAGCATCTCTGGGATCATGGCGAGGCACACAAACACACACACACCTCAGCGTCTCCGGGATCGTGGCGAGGCACACAAACACACACACACACACACCTCAGCGTCTCTGGGATCATGGCGAGGCACACAAACACACACACACCTCAGCGTCTCTGGGATCGTGGCGAGGCACACAAACACACACACACACACACCTCAGCGTCTCTGGGGTCGTGGCGAGGCACACAAACACACACACACACCTCAGCGTCTCTGGGATCATGGCGAGGCACACAAACAGACACACACCTCAGCGTCTCCGGGATCGTGGCGAGGCACACAAACACACACACACCTCAGCATCTCTGGGATCATGGCGAGGCACACAAACAGACACACACCTCAGCATCTCTGGGATCATGGCGAGGCACACAAACACACACACACCTCAGCGTCTCCGGGATCGTGGCGAGGCACACAAACACACACACACACACACCTCAGCGTCTCTGGGATCATGGCGAGGCACACAAACACACACACACCTCAGCGTCTCTGGGATCGTGGCGAGGCACACAAAACACACACACACACACACCTCAGCGTCTCTGGGATCATGGCGAGGCACACAAACACACACACACCTCAGCGTCTCTGGGGTCGTGGCGAGGCACACAAACACACACACACCTCAGCGTCTCTGGGGTCGTGGCGAGGCACACAAACACACACACACACCTCAGCGTCTCTGGGATCATGGCGAGGCACACAAACAGACACACACCTCAGCGTCTCTGGGGTCGTGGCGAGGGCGAGGCACACAAACACACACACACCTCAGCGTCTCTGGGGTCGTGGCGAGGCACACAAACACACACACACCTCAGCGTCTCTGGGGTCGTGGCGAGGCACACAAACAGACACACACCTCAGCGTCTCTGGGATCGTGGCGAGGCACACAAACACACACACACACACCTCAGCGTCTCTGGGATCATGGCGAGGCACACAAACACACACACACCTCAGCGTCTCTGGGATCATGGCGAGGCACACAAACAGACACACACCTCAGCGTCTCTGGGGTTGTGGCGAGGCACACAAACACACACACACCTCAGCATCTCTGGGGTCGTGGCGAGGCACACAAACACACACACACACCTCAGCGTCTCTGGGATCATGGCGAGGCACACAAACACACACACACCTCAGCGTCTCTGGGATCATGGCGAGGCACACAAACAGACACACACCTCAGCGTCTCCGGGATCGTGGCGAGGCACACAAACACACACACACCTCAGCATCTCTGGGGTCGTGGCGAGGCACACAAACACACACACACCTCAGCATCTCTGGGGTCGTGGCGAGGCACACAAACACACACACACCTCAGCGTCTCTGGGATCATGGCGAGGCACACAAACAGACACACACCTCAGCGTCTCTGGGGTCGTGGCGAGGCACACAAACACACACACACCTCAGCATCTCTGGGGTCGTGGCGAGGCACACAAACACACACACACCTCAGCATCTCTGGGGTCGTGGCGAGGCACAAAAACACACACACACGAACCTCTACGAAGTGTCCCACGGAGCGGCAGGCCTCCAGGTAGGAGCGGTGTAGGATCCACTTCCCGGACGCCATCGCCGCCAGGTACTTCTCGTTCCTGAGAGGGGTCCCCACGATGATGTGTGTGCAGCTGGGGTCGAAGGACTGTTTATCCAGGACCACGCCACCTGGAAGTAGAAAGATTCAACTCAGCTCTAAATCACAACGGTCTTGACAAAAATGTTGATTTGCCAACGACGGTTCAGAGAAAAACAGTTGGAATTCAGGAAATGCAATAATAGGGCTAACTTTTAGAAAAATGCTAACAGAGCATTTTACTGCAGTCTGAATTATTACTATTACTATTTTTGTTTTTATAGAATGATCCATTTCTTTGTTTTGTTTGTTTGGATGGATGTGTTTTTGCTGCTGCTGGACTCCTGAATTTCTCCTACGGGCATCAACAAAGTATCTATATATCTGTCTCTATAAAAACAAACACATAGAAGCCATTGGTGCACAAGGAACAGGAACCACTGTCTACACATGGTTTTTTCCCCTTTTTTTTAAGGACAATAAAAATCAAGACAGACAAACAAGATCTTTCTTTTCACCTACATGTCATTTCGGCTTATGTCCCATCTATGGATTACATTTGAAAACAAAAAAAACGGTATATACAAAAAATCACCTTCTAGGGACAAACATCACCTTGGCTTTACATCAGGGCTGCACGATATATGGAAAAAATATTATAGCGATATCGGTACGTGCGATATCCGTATCGAAAAGATTTTAGCGTTTTTTTTCCTTTATTAAAGACAACAAAAAGACAAACATTCAACAAGAACAACAAACAAACAAAAAAGCGTATAGATATAAATATATGCATTTTAAAGTCATTAATGTTGTGTTTATTTGTTGTTATTTGTCTCTTGCGTATAACACTTTTATCGACTATTGCTCTAATTTCCAATATCGTGCAGCCCTACTTTACATGTTATAAAGTTCCACACGTTGATTATATAAACTAATATTGAATGAATTAATAAAAATGGTGATGGAGCCGTACCCAGCTCTTCGATGAGGTGGCTGTAATCGATGCGCTCTTGTGGACTCAGGGAGGACATCTGAAAACACGGCGGCGGCTTCTCTTTCTGCCAACGGTCAAAAACATGTTCATTGTACAGACTGACACACAAACACACACACACACACACACACTTTGGTTTACCTGTGGCTCTGGTGCGACCGGGGGGTTGGCGAGCGGGAAGGCGATGCTGGGGGCCTCAGGGGTGGAGGGGGTCTGTGGACGCTGGTCTCTCTGCCCCAGCTCCTGATCCATGACCCCGAGGGCAGCTGCGGAAGAAGCCGGAACACATGTAAAAGTCCAAACACAACATTTAAAAAATAAGACTGATCGATAGCCTTGGTTTTGGGACTCGGTAAATGTAAAAATCAGCTGTCAAGAGTTTTTCTCAATTATGAAATTAAAGTTCTGCAGGCATCCACATGTTTAAGAAAGAAATCAAAGCAATAACAATGAAATAATCGGAAATTAATGAAAAATTGAATGATTATATTAATGAAAAATAATCATAATTTGTGCTGTAATCCATCTTCAATAAATGTTCTTTGAATTTGTACATGTTTGAAAGAGTACCCTCGCCCACATGGCAAAGTGTCAGTTAGTAGTTTAATAAGGTCATGTAGAATAAGGACTAATTAATAGCTAATTAACCATAAAATGTACACGAATTAGCACAAAATTAGCTGGTAATAAGTGAGGGCTAAACTAAAGTTCTACATTTATAGCCATTTATTAACATTAGTGGACATCGGTCTCTGCCCCTTATGGACCAATGGCTCTATGTGTTTTTATGATTGCATTTCTAGTGTTGAACTGTTGATTCTCTGATCTGTGTTGGCAAATTCAACTGTTTTGTTAAGTCCAACTACTATCTGATTCAGGGCTATCCAAGAATACATTGAATTGAATTGAAGTGCTGAAGACTCTTTACGCATGACTCATGACTTTTTAACTGCAGCCTGAGCCAAAGCACGTTCCCAGTTTGTAATTTCCTGCGGCTTCCAAAAGCAGTAGAAAGGATTGTGATGGTGCAGTGACCGTGACGTACCCATTTCCACCAGCTCCGAGTCGGTCATAGAGTCCTTGTACTGGGGGTCCTTGTCTTGGGGGTGGTCTGTGGCGTGATGAGGGAGCGCTGAGGGCTCAGAGTGCTGTGAGGGACTCCCGGGCCACTGCCGGTTGTCGGCGAGTCGGGCTCTCTCCTCGCGGGCCGTGGGGTCGTCCCACACGATCTGCTCGCTCTGAGACGGCTCCGTGTTTATGTCCATGGCGGCTTCTCTTGAACATCTACAACAGACGCAGTGATAGTGAGAATCTACAACAGACGCAGTGGTAGTGAGAATCTACAACAGACGCAGTGGTAGTGAGAATCTACAACAGACGCAGTGGTAGTGAGAATCTACAACAGACGCAGTGGTAGTGAGAATCTACAACAGACGCAGTGGTAGTGAGAATCTACAACAGACGCAGTGGTAGTGAGAATCTACAACAGACGCAGTGGTAGTGAGAATCTACAACAGACGCAGTGGTAGTGAGAATCTGTATCAAACATATTCAAAATTAAAATATAAGAAATAAACATGAGCTGACCCAGGTGTGTATGTGTGCTTTTGTTCTGTGAAGTTTGTACGTGTTGTGAAATAAGCAACTTGATTGATGGATAAAAAACAAAACTAGATTGAAGTCGGAGAATTGTATGTATGTGTGTGTAATATTGGTATGTGTCTGTAGTATGTGTGAAGTATATGTATGTGTGTATGTGTAGTATTGGTATGTATGTGTGTATGTGTAGTATTGGTATGTGTGCGTAGTATGTGTGTAGAATATGTGTGTATGCGTGTGTAGTATATGTATGTGTGTGTAGTATATGTATGTGTGTGTAGTATGTGTGTGTAGTATATGTATGTGTGTGTAGTATGTGTGTGTAGTGTATGTATGTGTGTGTAGTATATGTACTGTATGTGTGTGTAGTATATGTACTGTATGTGTGTGTAGTATATGTCCTGTATGTGTGTGTAGTATATGTACTGTATGTGTGTGTAGTATATGTACTGTATGTGTGTGTGTAGTATATGTACTGTATGTGTGTGTGTAGTATATGTATGTGTGTGTAGTATATGTATGTAGCGTCATCTGTCACCTACAGTCTCTCTCCCTAAAACCTTCAATCAAGGTCAGAAATCTAGGGGTAATACTGGACTCAGACTTAAATTTTAATAGCCACATCAAATCAGTAACATCAGCAGCTTTTTACCATCTAAAAAACATTGCCAGGATCAAAAACATAGTGTCTAAAGCAGACTTGGAGATTCTTATCCATGCATTTGTCTCCAGTAGGTTAGACTACTGCAATGGCCTGCTCACAGGTCTGTCCAAACAGGCTGTAAAACAGCTGCAGTACATTCAAAATGCAGCAGCTCGAGTCCTGACTAGAACCAGGAAGTACGACCACATTAGTCCAGTTCTCAGGTCTCTGCACTGGCTTCCTGTGGCTCAGAGAATAGACTTTAAAACAGCTCTGCTTGTGTACAAGTCTCTCCATAGCCTCGCACCAAAATATATTAGTGACATGTTAGTCCCATATGAATCAGCCCGGACTCTGAGGAGCACAGGGACTGGACTCCTGTTAGTGCCCAGAGTCAGAACTAAACATGGGGAGGCTGCTTTTCAGATTCATGCTGCTAAAATCTGGAACAGTCTTCCTGAAGATGTGAGACAGGCCTCCTCTCTGACAATGTTTAAAACCAGGTTAAAGACGGTTCTGTTTAACTGTGCATACAACTGAGGGATTTTATATTTTTATCTTTCTTTTTAATGTTCTGTGATAATTTATGATTTTAATGCTTTCTTGTTTTGTTCAGCACTTTGAATTGCCTTGTGTATGAATTGTGCTATATAAATAAACTTGCCTTGCCTTGCCTATGTGTGTGTAGTATATGTACTGTATGTGTGTGTAGTATATGTATGTGTGTGTAGTATATGTACTGTATGTGTGTGTAGTATATGTACTGTATGTGTGTCTAGTATATGTACTGTATGTGTGTGTAGTATATGTATGTGTGTGTAGTATATGTATGTGTGTGTAGTATATGTATGTGTGTGTAGTGTATGTATGTGTGTGTAGTGTATGTACTGTATGTGTGTGTAGTATATGTATGTGTGTGTAGTATATGTACTGTATGTGTGTGTAGTATATGTATGTGTGTGTAGTGTATGTACTGTATGTGTGTGTAGTGTATGTACTGTATGTGTGTGTAGTGTATGTACTGTATGTGTGTGTAGTGTATGTAGTGTATGTACTGTATGTGTGTGTAGTGTATGTACTGTATGTGTGTGTAGTGTATGTACTGTATGTGTGTGTAGTATATGTATGTGTGTGTAGTGTATGTATGTGTGTGTAGTATATGTATGTGTGTGTAGTATATGTATGTGTGTGTAGTATATCCTACATGACCTCCTGAATCCTGGACACTTTCTATACAGCGACTTGGCTTCACACAAAGATTTTTCTGATTGAATTTCAGGGTTTTCTGAAAAATCTCGGACGCCCATTACTAAATCATTATCATTCTACCCATGTTTTGACCATCAGTACACATACTAAGTAAGTGACTCTACTCTCTCTCAAACGTTTTTGCCCTGAATCCCGATACCTGAGAGCTTCCAGAGTGCGTCCTCTGCCGCTCCTCCCGGGGGTCTGTGGCCCCGGGTCGGCCCCAGACGAGCCCTTCCTGGTCAGTCTGACGGACACACGCCTCCCTGTGGTCAGCTTGGTCGCCGACATGATCTCCTGCAGCTGCCTTTGCAAATTCTCTCTCATCTCCACAGTTTCTCCGTTCTCTACAAGAGGAAAAAGTCTGTTAATTCAAGATAAGAGAAACCTAACTATTTGTCCCACTGCGGGGAAATTTCAATGTTGCAGCACACATACAGGACAGTAGAAGCAAAATATACAATACAAGTAGCTGCAATGCTTCTTAGCTTCCTGTAAATACTTCAATATCAATAAAATATCAATACTTTATGTCTCTATGCAAAGTTATACACACATAGGGCAGGATCATACGTTGCTAAAGGGACCTGTTGTTATTATTAATGCATAATTACATATCCATTCATCTGATATTTGCCATTCAATCTGTAAATACTTCTGAACCAAGTGCAATTATAGCTCCAGAGTTACACTGAAATTACTGTGGGACGGGTAAAGGAAAATCTAATCTTATATTCTTTTAACGTAAATCTGTAGAATATACACATGGAATAGGAACTACAGTTGGAAATTAGTTTTATGGCCAACACGGACACATTTACAGTGATATTGGTTAATCTGTACTGTCTCTATTCAAATTAGGGATGTAAATCGGTGACCGTTTAACCGGTGGTTGACCGTCACAGCGTTAACCGGTCAAAGCTGTCGGTTAAAAATAAGAAAAAGCGGAGAGGGGAGGTCTCTTAATAAGCCCTATTTGTACGATGTGACGAGCGGGTCCGTATCTAGCTGTGTGCGCCAATGCATTAGTAGACTACGGGCGACTTTCATGGCGCACGCTCCACATATGCACGCAGCCACGCACACGCGCGCGCACACACACACACACACACAAACACTTTCCCCCCCTCCATACGTAACATCCACACGCATCATCTCTCCCCTCTGTTACCGCCAAAGTTCCACAATAGTGCAGGTCAGAACTACATTGGAGCTTATATTTACACACACATACATACATGTATTGTACACACACACATACCGGGCTGTCGCGCACCTCTGTGTCTCGCAGCCCAAAGAATCCTCGCAAATACGCGGCCCCAAACACATGAAACATGTTTGTGCTGCTGTTCCTTGTCATTAGATCAGATCCACACACATCACTTTTAAACTTTAGCGGAGACCTGCGAGACGCGGCGTGTAACTCGCTGCTCTGACCATGTGAACAAGCCGTCTTTTGCTTAAAAATGCTTTAACCCGCAGCACAGAATGGGAAGATTAAAAAAGCAGTTCTCTGTGCGCAAAGGTTCCGAAGCTGTTGCGGGTTTTGGCGCCGCTGTCTCAGCTCTGATCTAGTAGAACGCATAGATAAACTTATGAAAAGTACGCGGCTCGAAATGGCTGCTATTTCAAAGAACGTGGAATATTTTGAACTACGCGGTTAACCGGTTTCAACCGGTTAATGAGGCTCGGTGGTCGGTCATGAAAATGCATAGTTTTTTACATCCCTAATTAAAATGAACTAATAATAAAAAAATAATAAATAAAAGAAATGGTGAAATGTACCAGTTCTCGTAGCATCTGGGTCGTCCTGCTCCACGCTGCCGTCACTGACCCGCCGAGCCGGTGCGTCCTCTGCGGCGCCGTTTTCAACCTAAACGAGACGAATGAAAGAAAGAGTACGACGTCTACATCATGTGACATCATAACTCAGAGTGCCCGGGGTCTCCGTACCGTGCTGGGAACTTGGGCCTGGCTGGGTTTGACCGGCGACCGCTGGGTGCTGCTGGGGACCTGGCTGAGGTTGAGGCTCATCTTGGGGTTGAAGGTGAAGGGATAGAGCGACTCGGGGACATGCCTCTGCTCCTCGGCGCACTAGACATGAACACAAGGTTATACTCTTCATCATGAGACATATTATTGCCTGTTTAGATTTAAACAGGGATGTCCACCCATTTCCTCACGTGAGTCTAGTCTAAACCTGCAGACTTGAGGAAATTAGTGTATTTTTTTGTTTTATTTATATTTCATGTATAACTAATGAAAGATACAGTTGCCTTCATCATCCTACAGAATATTTAAATGTTGTCTTAATGGATTTTCATTTGTCACTTCAATAAATATATATGGATCTGTAATGCCCATATACAAGGAAACAGAGATAAATAAAAAGTGAAAAAAGGGTAAATTAAAGACGATTGTAAAGTTTTTATAATTAACATTATTATTTTATTCACCTATTTTGTATGTTTAATCCCTATGCTGCCCCTGGTGGGATAAATACAGTGGTCTGAATTTGAGTCTGCTTTGCTCCTGCTTGGTTGGAATGAAAACCTGCAGCCACACCGGCCCTTTCTGGATCCACTTTGACAGCCTTGATTGTGGAAAGCCTTGTGTAAGTTTTGTGCGGACGTACGGCCTGGAGCCAGTGATGGGAGACCACGTGCAGGCCTCGCTCCTTCACGGCTCTGTATTCTCGAGTGTTGTCTCCGACTCGACCCTGGTAAATGTAGTGCGTCACGGTGTCGTCACAGGCCCACCTGCGCCACACACAAGGATTCTGGTTTCTCATTTGGTATGAACATGGGAATAATAAATGGTCGAGCAAAAAAACTATATATTTCTATGGTCAAACTTATTCAACTTGAAAACGTGTTGTTTAAAAAGGACTGTACCTGAAGTCGGCGCCGAGAGAAGCAGCCACGGCATTCAGTTCGCTCTGCATTTTGCTCAGCTTCTTCCCCACACAGATCACAACACCGGTCAGGGGGCAGGCCTCCTTCTCCTGGATCTGGGATCAATGGAAACAGCATCAAAACTATGAGTGAATATAATACCGTTGAAAGAGCAAGGCTGTATCATTGCTGACTGGTCAGAAGCCATCTTCCTGTGGACTCACCCCCTGCAGAGGATCAGAGAGACTGGTGCTAGGAGTATTGGGGGCAGCTCTCATTGCCAACCCCCAACCCAGAAATTGATTAATAAAGGTGTTGAAAATGAATGAATGAATGAATGACTGTGGACTCACTGGCGACATAGTCTTATGCATTTACTTTGGTCTGTTTCTGTGTACTTTTTTATGCCTATGGACCATTGTGTGTTCTTATAAAGCCTAAATATTTGTACAATGTGTGTGTGTGTGTGTCTGTGTCTCTTGTTCCAACATCAAGCATGTTTTGGGAATATTGCTACCACTTTGACACACATGAGAAAATTATATGACAATAGTACAATATTTAGGATTAGGGTTGCTGCACGTGTTTAGGATTAGGGTTTCATTTGGATCGACCCTTTGAAATCTTGTGATGTCACATGATTGCAACCTGTTGTCTGTGTTTTATTTACAGTTAGGTGAAATAGTGAGAAGGAGGACCTGAGCAGCAGCGTGGTGGAGCTGTGGGCTGGCGGACAGCTCCTGCTCGCTGCGGGAGCTGTTGGCCAGAGCCACTTTGAGGTTTCTGTTGATGACGTCAGTCAGAGGAGTCTCCGCCTTTTGTCCAGGGACAGGTCTTCCTCCAGGTGTGTCCAGAGCTCCCAGTCCATCCTGACAACGACAATAACAACAGCAAGATGAACATGCCGTACTTGTTTTTTATGGTAATAATGTACATATTTCCATGCTGTCATTAAGAGTTATGTTTTAAATCAAATGAACAGCTGTCTCTCTCCGTGTCTGTCTGTGTATGTCTCCATTTGTTCGTGTGCGTCTCTCTTTCTCTCTGTCTGTCTGTGTGTCTCTCTCTGTCTGTGTGTCTCTCTGTCTGTCTCTCACTCTCTCCATCTGTGTGTGTGTCTCTCTCTCTCTGTGTGTGTGTGTCTCTCTCTCTCTCTGTGTGAGTTTAAGACACATTTTCAAGCACATAAAGACCAGAATCCCCTCCAATGGCGCTCCCTCACAAAGAGTGTTTCCATCTCTTCTGTGACTTCCTGCTGGTTCTGACCTTGACATTAAACGCCGGTTTGGTCGTGACGCGGTTGAGGAATCGCGACGGCGTGTCCAGCTGCAGAGACGGCTCTTTCTTCAGCTGGTTCCTCCCCCTCGTCTCCTGGACCTGCTCGGCCTTCTTCTCATCTTCACTTTGTTTGGAGTCTTCGAAACCCGAGCGGAATATTCTGCTCTGGAACCGGCCCAGATCCAGAGGCGTCACCGCTTTCCCCGTCTGTGGGCCGAGCAGCGGGATCTCCGGGGAGGCGCTGAGCCGAGGAGGCGGCGGCGGCATGTCTGTCCTCTGGGAGCCCATGACGTAACTCTCCTCTTCTTTCTCTGTGGTGGAAAGAGGAGCATGTTGCATTTATTCAATTCAATACATGAAGAGAATCAGGTCGATGGGATTTGGATATGATTACTGGCCACGAACCCAGACACACAATTGTACAGAACTGGTTTATGAGCAATACTTTTGTTTTAAAAAAGCATAAAGCTTCTCGGAGCGTGATGTCATAGTGATACAATGACATCATACTAACACAGGACTGAGACAGGAGCTTTTAGGCAGAAAGGGCGGAGCTACATGTTTGTTATAGAAGTTCCTGATATAGGCATGGATGGATCTCAAAACAAGGTCTTTGAAGGAACAATGGTGTAACGTGGCTAAAAAGTTCTGGTCTCCTTTAAAGGGCCCATATCACGGTTTTTGACTTTTCTCTGCTTTAAACATGATTACAATGCTATTTGGCCTTCATACACAAGCCCACAGTAGTTTATTCATTGATTCTGTCAATCTTTTGTAAGAGAGCAATCTGTCTCCTTCCCCAGCGTGAGGCACAGAAACGCTCAGGTCCACTTCAGTGACAAAAACCACACTGATGACGCGCATGACGCGCATGACCCCGTTTGCTTTGTATTTAAAATAGTTGTTAAATACTTTTGTCAAAACGGGGTAAACAATACACAATTAGTATGCTGTTTTTTGTCAAAAATAATAAAAATAAAAATAAATTAAAAGCCGGCGGGAGGTGATTGACGGATCAAAACAGCGAATCAGAGCGCACGGGCTCCGGCTCCCGAGTCCAGCGTCTGTGGTCTGGTCTCGCGGACACCACATAGAGCTGCTGTTTTTTATGCTTTTGTCAGCAACTAAAAGTGTTAGGATCACGTCAACTTGAATGAAGTGTGTTATGGGTGTAAATATATGACACACTATTTGGCCCGAAGAGGAAGAAAGCGGCTCGACTTTTTTCATCTGTTCATCTCATGGATCTATTATAAACCGGTTCATCTGCGACACTTCACTGAGACTGTTCCAGAACTACAGGGACAATGGAACTGGACTTACTCAAAGGCTGATCTGGAAACACGTTATTCCCACGGTAAAAGACGATACTCGGACCCCCTCGATCTGTAAGTAGTGACGCTAACTCGCTGTATACTTCTGTAAACTAAATAACTAGGATCTGATTGTGCATCGAGGACATAGGGCTCGATGTGACGGATTGTCATTGTTGGAAAAAGTTTATTCTTATGTATGAAATTACTAAGTACAGGTGATAAACGACAAAAGCGTGATGCTACGTCACCGTACGGGCGGGGGGAGGCGGGCTCACAGGCAGAGGAGCAGACTCTTCTCTGGATCAGCTCGTTTGAGTCGAGGTGACGTCACCTCTATACAAGAGATGGCTCTAATCTCACAAGCTTTGATTGTTGTGTGGTGTATCATACACTTGAGTGTGAAACATGAAGAAAAGCGTGATATAGGACCTTTAACACACGGACTGCCAAAGTTCTGAATCTACTAGAACTCCCTAAGCAGTCATTTTGACAGCTCCCATTCAAAGTTATTCTTATGTTATTTTTCAATATGCGCCAAAACTGATGAATACAACTGAAATTTAGCAATAAATGCATTAAAATAAACTCCAAATAGCAACAGAAAAAGTCAGTTATGAATAAGTTATGAAGATTGAGCCGAGTTACTACAATACTACACAAAAAGCCATCAGATTGACTGCTCTGGGAGTTCTAGTGTTAAATAAACAGACTTGTTCCAGACCTGGAGACGGAGGGCGGTCCACGTAGAAGCGCTCCTCTTTGGCCTTCTGTCCCTTTCGAGCCGACTCCAGGATCCAGTGCATGGTGACCGCAGGGAGGCCCCACTTCTGCGCCGCCTGGTACTTGGTTCCGTCCGGGGTCTGCAGCACCAGGTGAGTGCTGGCCTGCATGCCCTTCTTCAGGTTGGCCAGACGCACAAAGTAATCCTGGACGCTACAACGACAACAGGGGAAGGATGGAAGGTTTAAATGATCCACAACCAGAAGCAGACCGTCCGTTTGTATTTTCACCAGTTACAAACAAAGAAGAGTGTGTGTCTGCGTTTCTCTGTGAGTGTGTCTCTCTCGGTCTCAGCGTGTATGTGTGTCTCTCTCGGTCTAAGGTGTATGTGTGTCTCTCTCGGTCTCAGCGTGTATGTGTGTCTCTCTCGTCTCGGTGTATGTGTTCTCTCGGTCTCAGCGTGTATGTGTGTCTCTCTCGGTCTCAGCGTGTATGTGTGTCTCTCTCGGTCTCAGCGTGTATGTGTGTCTCTCTCGTCTCAGCGTTCTCAGCGTGTAGTGTGTCCTCTCGTCTAGCGTGTATGTGTGTCTCTCTCGGTCTCAGCGTGTATGTGTGTCTCTCTCGGTCTCAGCGTGTATGTGTGTCTCTCTCGGTCTCAGCGTGTATGTGTGTCTCTCTCGGTCTCAGCGTGTATGTGTGCTCTCTCGGTCTCAGCGTGTATGTGTGTCTCTCTCGTCTCAGCGTGTATGTGTGTCTCTCCTCGGTCTCAGCGTGTATTGTGTCTCTCTCTCTCAGTGTATGTGTGTCTCTCTCGTCTCAGCGTGTATGTGTGTCTCTCTCGGTCTCAGCGTGTATGTGTGTCTCTCTCGGTCTCAGCGTGTATGTGTGTCTCTCTCGTCTCGCTCGTTGTAGTGTGTCTCTCTCGGTCTCAGCGTGTATGTGTGTCTCTCTCGGTCTCAGCGTGTATGTGTGTCCTCTCTCGCGGGGGTCTCAGCGTGTATGTGTGTCTCTCTCGGTCTCAGCGTGTAGGCCGGTGTATGTGTGTCTCTCTCGGTCTCAGCGTGTATGTGTGTCTCTCTCGGTCTCAGCGTGTATGTGTGTCTCTCTCGTCTCAGCGTGTATGTGTGCTCTCTCTCGGTCTCAGCGTGTATGTGTGTCTCTCTCGGTCTCAGCGTGTATGTGTGTTCTAGCGTATGTGTGTCGTCTCAGCGGTGTGTCGTCATGTTGGTGTCTCTCTCGGTCTCAGCGGTATGGCCCTCGTCTCAGCGTGTATGTGTCTCTCTCGTCTCAGGCTCGGTCTCAGCGTGGCGTGTATGTGTCTCTCTCGGTCTCAGCGTGTATGTGTGTCTCTCTCGGTCTCAGCTCTCGTCTCGGTCTCAGCGTGTATGTGTGCTCTCTGTCTCAGCGTGTTGTGTGCTCTCTCGTCCAGCGTGTATGTGTGTCTCTCTCTCGGTCTCAGCGTGTATGTGTGTTCTCTCGTTCGGTCTCTCGCGTGTATGTGTGTCTCTCTCGGTCTCAGCGTGTATGTGTCTCGTCTCGGATCTCGGTCTCAGCGTGTATGTGTGTCTCTCTCGGTCTCAGCGTGTATGTGTGTCTCTCTCGGTCTCAGCGTGTATGTGTGTCTCTCTCGGTCTCACGTCGGTCTCAGCGTGTATGTGTGTCTCTCTCGGTCTCAGCGTGTATGTGTGTCTCTCTCGGTCTCAGCGTGTATGTGTTCGTCTCTCTCGGTCTCAGCGTGTATGTGTCGTCCGTCTCTCGTCTCAGCGTGTATGTGTGTCTCTCTCGGTCTCAGGTAGTGTGTCTTTCGGTTCAGCGTGTATGTGTGTCTCTCGTCTCGGTTGGGGTCTCAGCGTGTATGTGTGTCTCTCTCGGTCTCAGCGTGTATGTGTGTCTTGTGCTCTCGGCTCAGCGTGTATGTGTGTCTCTCTCGGTCTCAGCGTGTATGTGTGTCTCTCTCGGTCTCAGCGTGTATGTGTGTCTCTCTCGGTCTCAGCGTGTATGTGTGCTCTCTCTCTCAGGTGTATGTGTGTCTCTCCGGTCTAAGTGTGTATGTGTGTCTTCTCTCGGTCTCAGTGTGTATGTGTGTCTCTCTCGGTCTCAGCGTGTATGTGTGTCTCTCTCGGTCTAAGTGTGTATGTGTGTCTCTCTCGGTCTCAGCGTGTATGTGTGTCTCTCTCGGTCTCAGTGTGTAGTGTGTCTCTCTCGGTCTCAGTGTGTAGTGTGTCTCTCTCGGTCTCAGTGTGTATGTGTGTCTCTCTCTCGGTCTCAGTGTGTATGTGTGTCTCTCTCGGTCGAAGTGTGTATGTGTGTCTCTCTCTGTCTCAGTGTGTGTGTGTGTCTCTCCATTTGCCTCAGTGTGTGTGTGTCTGCTAGTTGCTATGTGAGTGTCTCTCTCTCTCTGTGCCTCAGTGTGTGTGTGCGTGTATCTCTCTGTATACGTCTCTCTGTGTTTCTGTGTGTATGTGTGTCTTTCTGATTGTCTCTCTGTGCCTCGTTATGTGTGTGTAAGTAAGTAAATAATTAATTTTTATTTATATACCGCCTTTCACAGACCAGAGTCACAAAGCGGTTTACAATTGTTATTTTTAGGCATTTGTCCTCTCACTCCTCACAGAGATAGAGCGGTGTGTGTGTGTATGTGTATGTGTATGTGTGTGTGTGTGTGTGTGTGTGTGTGTGTGTGTGTGTGTGTGTGTGTGTGTGTGTGTGTGTGTGTGTCTTAGCAGTTTGTTGCCTCCCCTCACCCTCCTCGTTCCCCTCCTTGCTGTATGTACATTATGCCCGTGTCTAAGGTGCTGCATTCAGAACAACACTACGGGAGCCTGTCTACTCGGGTTCAGGACAAAGCAGCATGAACGAGTCTTACGTTGCTCCGAGATGTTTGGCGAGATCCACCAGAGACTCGCGCTCCGCTCCGGTGAACTGGCTGACGGACAGGACGCAGTTGTTCAGAGGCAGTCGACCCTCCATCACCGGCACAGGAGTAAACAGAGGGTTGGAGAAAATATCCAACACACTCTCCTTTTCCACACACATGACCTACACAAAAACATTATTAAACATACAAATACATTATAAAAAGTGAATTTGATTACCCCACCCTGGAGCCAGGCCTGGGGATGGGGCTCGTATGCGAGCGCCTGGTGGCCGGGCCTTAGCCCACGGGGCCCGGCCGGGCTCAGCCCGAATGGACGACGTGGGCAGTCCCTCCTGTGGGCCCACCACCCGCAGAGGGGTCCGTGGTGGCGAAGCGGTGCAGAGAGGACTGGGCAGCGGTCGAAGGCGGAGACCTCGGCGACCCAGTCCGCACACACAACAGCTGGCTCTTGGGACGTGGAACGTCACCTCACTGGGGGGCAAGGAGCCCGAGCTTGTGGGGGAGGTTGAGCGATACCGACTAGAGATGGTCGGCCTCACCTCCACACACAGCTTGGGCTCTGGAACCCAACTCCTTGAGAGGGGTTGGACGCTCCACTTTTCTGGAGTTTCCCGCGGGGAGAGGCGGCGAGCTGGGGTGGCCATTCTCATTGCCCCCCATCTCAGCCGCCACGTGTTGGAGTTCTCCCCGGTGAATGAGAGGGTCGCGTCCCTCCGCCTCCGGGTGGGGGACAAGTCTCTCATTGTTGTGAGACTACGGGCCTAACAGCAGTGCAGAGTACCCGGCCTTCTTGGAGTCCTTGGGAGGGGTACTGGACGGTGCACCGCCCGGGGACTCCGTTATTCTCCTGGGGGACTTCAACGCCCATGTGGGAAATGCCAGTGACACTTGGAGAGGGGTGGTCGGGAAGAGCGGCCCCCCTGATCTGAACCCGAGCGGTGTTCAGTTGTTGGACTTCTGTGCCAGTCACAGTTTGTCCATCACGAACACCATGTTCGAGCACAAGGGTGTCCACCAGTGCACGTGGCACCAGGACACCCTAGGCCGGAGGTCAATGATCGACTTTGTTGTCGTATCATCTGACCTTCGACCGCGTGTCTCGGACACTCGGGTAAAGAGAGGGGCGGAGCTGTCAACCGATCATCACCTGGTTGTGAGTTGGATCCGCTGGCAGGGGAAGAAGCCGGTCAGACCTGGCAGACCCAAGCGTATAGTGAGGGTCTGCTGGGAACGTCTCGCTGAGCCCCCTGTCAGACGGACTTTCAACTCACACCTCCGGGAGAGTTTCTCCCAGGTCCCGGCGGAGGAGGGGGACATGGAGTCCGAGTGGACCATGTTCTCTGCCTCAATCGCCGATGCGGCGGCTCGTAGCTGTGGTCGCAAGGTCTCTGGTGCTGGTCCCGGAGGCAACCCCCGAACCCGGTGGTGGACACCGGCAGTAAGGGATGCTGTCAGGCTGAAGAAGGAGTCCTATCGAGCCATGATGGTTCGGGGGACTCCTGAGGCAGCTGTCCAGTACTGGCAGGCCAAGCGTGCCGTGGCCCGGGCTGTTGCAGAGGCAAAAACCCGGGACTGGGAGGAGTTCGGAGAGTCCATGGAGCATGACTATCGGTCGGCCTCGAAGAGATTCTGGCAATCCATCCGGCGCCTCAGGAGGGGGAAGCAGTTCTTTGCCAACACCATGTACGGTGTGGGTGGAGAGCTGCTGACCTCGACTGGGGATATTGTCGGGCGGTGGAAGGAATACTTTGAGGATCTCCTCAATCCCCCCGTCACGTCCTCTGTTTCAGAGGCAGAGGCTGAGGATGTTGGGGCGGATACATCCATCTCCCTGGCTGAGGTCACCAAGGTGGTTGGTAGCCTCCATGGTGGCAAGGCTCCGGGTGTGGATGAGATCCGCCCTGATTATCTAAAGTCTCTGGATGTTGTAGGACTGTCTTGGCTGACACGTCTCTGCAACATCGCGTGGCGATCGGGGGCAGTGCCAATGGAGTGGCAGACCGGGGTGGTGGTCCCTCTCTACAAGAAGGGGAACCGGAGGGTGTGTTCCAATTATCGTGGGATCACACTCCTCAGCCTCCCCGGTAAGGTCTACTCCAAGGTACTGGAGAGGAGGCTACGGCCGATGGTCGAATCTCAGATCCAGGAGGGGCAGTGTGGTTTTCGTCCCGGTCGCGGAACACTGGACCAGCTCTATACTCTCCATCGGATACTCGAGGGTTCATGGGAGTTCGCCCAACCTGTCCACATGTGCTTTGTGGATTTGGAAAAGGCGTTCGACTGTGTTCCCCGGGGTGTCCTTTGGGGGGGTTCTCCGGGAGTACGGGGTCGGAGGTCCTCTGCTGAGGGCCATCCGATCCCTGTATGACCGGAGCCAGAGCTGTGTTCGCATTGCCGGCAGTAAGTCAGACCTGTTCCCGGTGAATGTTGGCCTCCGACAGGGCTGCCCTTTGTCACCGGTTCTGTTCACTGTATTTATGGACAGAATATCTAGGCGCAGCCAGGGGTCGGAGGGGGTCCGGTTTGGAGACCACAGGATTTCATCTCTGCTGTTTGCGGACGATGTTGTCCTGTTGGCTCCAACGAACCAAGACCTGCAGCATGCACTGGGACGGTTTGCAGCCGAGTGTGAAGCGGCTGGGATGAGAATCAGCACCTCCAAATCCGAGGCCATGGTGCTCGACCGGAAAAAGGTGCCTTGCCCTCTCCAGGTGGGTGGAGAGGTCCTTCCTCAAGTGGAGGAGTTCAAGTATCTCGGGGTCTTGTTCACGAGTGAGGGAAGAATGGAGCGTGAGATTGACAGGCGGATCGGTGCAGCGTGCGCAGTGATGCGGTCGCTGTATCGGACCGTTGTGGTGAAGAGGGAGCTGAGCCGAAAGGCAAAGCTCTCGATTTACCGGCCAATCTTCGTTCCCTCCCTCACCTATGGTCATGAGCTTTGGGTAATGACCGAAAGAACAAGATCGCGGATACAAGCGGTCGAAATGAGCTTCCTCCGCAGAGTGGCTGGGCGCTCCCTTAGAGATAGGGTGAGGAGCTCAGTCACACGGGAGGAGCTCGGAGTAGAGCTGCTGCTTCTCCACGTCGAGAGGAACCAGTTGAGGTGGCTCGGGCATCTGTTCCGGATGCCTCCTGGACGCCTCCCTGGGGAGGTGTTCCGGGCACGTCCCACCGGGAGGAGGCCCCGCGGAAGACCAAGGACACGCTGGAGGGACTATGTCTCTCAGCTGGCCTGGGAACGCCTTGGGGTCCCCCCGGACGAGCTGGAGGAAGTGTGTGTGGATAGGGAAGTCTGGGCGTCTCTGCTTAGACTGCTGCCCCCGCGACCCGGCAACGGATAAAGCGGAAGAAAATGGATGGATGGATGGATGGAATTTGATTACTTATGTGTAGTCATGTGTTGTGTGACATTACAGGGTTGTGACAAAAGGTACGAGAAATGAAATAGAATCTGAAATAGAATCCAAAAGACTTCTAAACTTTCGCACAATATTTCTGACAATTCAATATTAACTGAATATTGCAGGAATTAGACGAGCTTTGGCCCTTGTCGACTTTGACAGGAGAATGTAAAACTGTTGGTGATCCATCGCTGTATAAGAGTGAAATACCAGAGTAAGGAATAAGTTACGCAGCGATAAAGGGTCAGTTTGGGGTTTGACATGTGTGTGAGTGGACTGTGCACCGGTGTGTAGCACTCAACAAAAACAAAATAAATTCAATTATTTACTATTTTCCATCCATCCATCCATTTTCTTCCCCTTAATCCATTTCTGGGTCGGGGGGGTGGCAGTCAGAGCTGCACCCAGTAGCACGAGCCCCTCACTGATCCTCCTGCAGGTGGTGAGTCCACAGGAGCTGAGATCTTTCAGCAGGGGCTTGCCCAAGGACACAACAACAGCAGTCACCAGTGGGAGTCGTGAAGTAGGTCTTATGGTGGGCTTGAACCCACAACCTTCAGGCCCAAAGGCCAATGCTCTACCAACTAAGCTACTGTCGCCCCTATTTACTATTTTTGTGGGGAAAATTGTTAATGCAAATTCAAGTGTGACATATTATCATAAATACAATACAATTTATTCCTGTATAGCCCTGAATCACAACAGCAGTCGTCTAATAAAGACAATATTGACAGCATGTTATACCACTGATAAAGTCAATCTTAAAGCAGGAGTTATAATAAATAAAAAGCTTAACGAAGGAATTCCGTTCTTAGTTAGCATCTATAAGCTACAAGAAAAAGAAAACACACTTTTGAAAATTTGCAACAAAAATAACATGTACCATTATTATTGAGCACCAAAAGCTACTGTAACATGAACCCTTTAAGGAACTGAAAGACTTTATTATTAACCACAGTAATCATCTAACCCAAACCCAGGTTCTGTTTTCAGGTGAACACAACTGAAGGATTTTATATCTACTCTTTTTAATGCATTGTTGGATTTGTAGGAACACGAGTAGGAACGGTGCTCTACAAATAAAGACAGATTGATTGTCTATATCAGGGGTCTCCATTCCAACCAATAGCTCTCCAGCTCCTTTCAGGTAGCTCCCAAAAGGATTTAGAATTTAACACATGATCCTGAATGAATACTTTTTGAGTTATTACATATCTATTATAAGTAAAAATATTAGGTTATGCAATATTATGGTATATTTACATGTGTTCTTCATGTGTGTTCTCTCGCAGATTAGCTCTCGGTCTGGTTTGTAGTATAAAAGTAGCTCTCTGATTGAAAAAGGTTGGAGAGCCCTGGTCTGTATGTACATGATGGTATCTCTCTCACCAGCCACGTGTCGGTGACCACCTCGTCCACCGTAGCCTCCACAGAGCAGCCCAGCACCGGCACCACCGCGTACTCCGCCACGGCGCGCGTCCTGCCGCTCACCGTCCGCCCGCCGTTCTCTGCAAGGAGCTGCGAGAGCTGGGCCTCCATCTCTGCTCCAAATCCCACCAGGAGGAAGAGGGCCCCCCCGAACAGTCCTGCCTCTGTGGGCTCCTGTCTCAGGCTCTGGCTCTGGCTCCAAGGCTCTGCTGGAGGTCCAGGAGTGCACACAGACCGCCGGCTGGTGTCGGGGGCCGCGGCGGGAAAGTCCACTGTGGAATATAGCAATTACAAGGTTCATTTTACAATCAATATTACTTACTCAAAGCTCTTAGGCCATTTATGTACAGTATGTGTATGATTTTGTACATATTGTGTATGATTTTGCAAGTATAAGGCCATACTTGCATTGGAGCCAAGCCAGATCCTGCCAGACCTCTGAAGCTAAGCAGGTTCGCCTGGTTCGTACTGATGGGAGACACTGGAAACACCAGGTGCCACAGTGGGGCGGCTGTGGCTCCATAGGCAAGACACTTCACCCACACTGCCTAAAATGAGTCTGGTGTGTGTTTGAATGATTGGTGGTGGTGGAAGCGGCCGATGATACATACCGGTTACCTGTCAGTGAGCCCCAGCTCCAACTACTACTACTGTAATCGATTACCACAATTTTCATTCATTACAGGCCTGGCTACAGATATTTCTGTAAAACCGTGCTGTGAAACATACCGACAGTAGGCTCATCGTCCATATACTGGGACAGGAGGTCGTCGTCTGCCCTCTTGTGGTTCGGGGTGGCAGGACTGGCGGCAGGTGGGGGCAGAGACAGTCGAGATGGAGGGGTGAGGCCCTTGACTGCGGGGGTGGCAGGGGGGAGACATTCAGGGTGCAGGTAGTCCGACTCCGGGAGCAGACTGCCTTTGGAGAAACTGTCCAGGAGCCAGTGCACTGTGACCACATGAGGCCTGCGGAGATTCAAGCATCAGTCAAAACGTGCACAGACAGTGGAGACCTGCAGCTGAAGTCCAGACCTGTGAGACGCTTTGGAGACAAAACTCTTCAGCTCAGAGTCCAGATCTCCCATGACCACGTGGGTGAGCTCCTCGCTGGGCTGGTTGAATCGCAAACCTCCGGCGGAATTGACAAGACGTCGCAGTTTTTCGAATTTGTTCCCGGGTAAACCACAGAGATAGAGCTGTAATAGAAGTGCAGAGTTACATAGTTACACCCACGTATTTTTCTCCTTTTTATTTGTTTTGCCAGAGTGTCTGAACAGTGTTCCAATGTAAGTATCACTGTCTATCAAAAGTGTAACATAGAACATTGTGTGCATCGGAGCTAGCTAAATGTTTAGACTAGGACTGAAGGACTCACAACTCAATATTAGGGCCATATTACCATAGCACCAACTACATACCATACGACCAATTACAGGTTTGGTGAGTAAGTAAGTTAGAGATGTCTGCAGACCTATCGTACATGTTTTTTAGTGGTAAGGGAAACCGGAGCACACGGAGGAAACCTGCGCAGACACGGGGAGAGCACGCAAACTCCGCACAGAAAGGCCTGGAGGTGGAATCGAACTCAGGACCTTCTTGCTGTGAAGCACAAGCACTAACCACTGCTCCACCAAGTAAAAATCTAGCCTTTTTCAGATTTTTTTATGTCTCCTAAAGATGAATAATGTTCGTATCTCAATCTATATTTCCCCCTAGACAGGTTTATACAGCATTTACAATCATTTACAATTTTTTTCTTAGCTATTAACACACAAACACTGACTGTTACTGACGTTTTGAACACTACCAAGTCTCAATAACTCATCTAAAAAAATGCCTCAATAAGCACATAGAGAGTTTTTTAAAGAAGCCATTTTCAACCAGTACACAGCGACTTTGTACCTTGCAACCGTCCAGAATGTCATCAGTCGGACAGACGGTGATGTCAAAGCTGTCCACAGGGTCAGCGGCCTCCAGGCGACTCAGCGTCCTGTTGGTGAGGTTGGTGAGGGCCGTGTCGTTTATGGGCATGCTGGAGTTCACCGAGATGTGGCTGAGTCCGAGCAGCGAGACGCCTTCTACACAAGCGCAGTCCGTGTGATCAAAAGTGTACATTTATAGTAACTTGAGGGACACACAGTATTGAGAGCAGCTGACCTGGTTTCTTGTTGCTGCCTGTGGGAGTGGAAGTGTGCGGCCGTGTGCTCTTTGCGTTGCGTTCCACCGTGTAGCGGCTTTCGTCTTGACAAAAGCCTTTCTCGATGCTGTCGAACAACCAGTGCAGAGACACACAATACACGTTCCATTTCCTCGCACACTCGTATTTCTGACCTAAAGACAAAACGTGGGACTTGAAAACCATGGAAAAGAGTAAGAGCGGGAATTGGCAAAAACATGATTCGATACTATTGCGATATTTAGGCCACATTCCAAGTTTATGGAGATTCTAAACATATTGCGATACAGAAACCATAGCGATTAGATTCTTCGATATATTGCAATTTATGAGCCTCATATTATTCAAAGGCATTAGAAAAACTTAGGAAATAAGATTCAACTCAAATGTCACATTAATTATGGTCTGAACATTAACCCAAGCAAACACTTACTGTAGGAGGGTAGAGCAAAAACTTTATCCTTGAACATTCAGGACAAGACGACATTATTCACTGTAACATTAACCTCATATGCAAATTACCAGAGCAAAACAGATTGAATTATTGAATTTAATGCTATAATACTTTGCTCTGATGTATTGATATAATTGCGTTGTGATGGGTCATACCTGAGGGCTCGCTCACGATGAGGTGGGTGCACTCGTTCATCTTGAGCTGCCCGGTGTAGGCGGCTCCGTTCTGCTCACAGAGGCGCTGAACCTCTTTGCGCTCGGTGCTGGAGAGGCCGGTCACACACACGGTACACCCCTGCAGCACTGGGCACAAGTACCCGTCTGTGGACATGTCCGTGTGCCTGAAGAGACTGAGAGCACACTGTTAGTTAGTCACAGAGCACATATAGAACCAATATCCTTTAAACTGTATGTAAGGACCTGTTCTGTGACTTCTCCCAGCAGGTTTTCACCCACTTGGGCAGGAGAATGGGCTTTCCCAGGCTGGCTGCGACCAAGTATTTTTTCGATCCTACTTCTCCAGCGATGAGATGTGTCACAGAAACATTTAGGTCCAGGTACACGCGTCCGCCCATGAGCTGGACCAACTCCATAACCTCTTTCTGTGGAGGTAGAGTATCATTCAGTCGTATATATACGTCCAACACAGCACATCAAATAAACTACAGATAGTTCTATGTTTTATCATTGGAGAACTTACTCTGGCAGACTTTTCCAGACTAGTGCAAGAAATTGTGACGTCTGCCATGGCCATGTTGTAGACCGGCATCTCCGCCTTAGGGACACACCGCTGCTGCTGTAGGCAATACAGCACCACAAGTGGACTCACCACTCTGCACCCCAGCTACATAATAAGAACATTTTAGTGTGACATGTTACAGAGCAGTCAGAACGAGGAGCACACAACACAAGATAAGTGAATATTTAGTATAGCACAACTCAAATACATTAAAATCTTTATCATTAGCTTATTAAAGAAGCACAGTATAAACCTGTATACTGTAGTGCAAGAAATATATACTTGTATCTCTACATCTGTAAATCTGTAATCCACTCTATGTATACCTTTTTACAGTGTACAAAAGCAGGACAGGAGAAACTGTTGAAGACAAATAAAGACTTGTCTTTCTGTTCCATCTGTAAAACTTCATCTTCATCTATGGTTTTTAAGTGCTTCTCCGACTGCAGCTCTAAAATGGCCTGAAACAGAAAACACAATCATCAGAGGACTCTCCACATGTGGGTCTGTCATGATGCTCGCACCTCATAGGCTTTAGTCCCATACTCAGTCTTTGCTCCATTACTCTCCACAAACTTCACAATGAAGGACTCTCCATTGGGTTTAGCCATCGTGTCCCCGTTACATTCAGAACATCAGCCTGAAGTTCATGGATCTATTGTGTTTGGAATAAGAGCAGGTACCGTCTTCACATGGCACTATTGGACTAAAAGCGCAGTTATTCGGTCTTTGTGCTTTCATGTATTCCAGCAGCCGACAGAACTTTACAAATGCGGAAGTTGACAATCACACAAAAACAATCAGTTTATAAAGCCGAACGGCACCAGGACCTGGACCAAGTAAAACAGTTCATAAATACGGTCAAAAGCACCAAACTCCAGACATTTGTTGTTGTTATTCGCGCCAACGCCGTAACTTCCGGTGTGCCAGAGAAATAACGCCGTGTAGAAAATGTAACTGGACTTCAAACGGTCCGCTTCATGAAATTAGTCCAGAACATAGATCATAGACTGTAAATATTAATAGATCTGTTATAATAACGGGAAGACAAGACTTTTATTGTCATGAAGTAAAAATCATTTACGCTTCTTTTCTAACAATTACCTGAAGCAGAATACAAAAAGAATGTCGTTTGGACAGTTCAGATCATCAGAGGGATGTCCTGACCACAAATAAAAAAAATGATAATATAACCGCAAGCAGCGATGGACGGCCCTCGCTTAAACATTCCTTATTAGTGTGTGTCTCACCCTCTGTTGGTTGTGCTTTGCTTTACTTTTCACATGTTCTGAAAGTTGAGTGTACATTTTTCCAGTTACATGAATTCAAAGGCTTTAGATCCTGCAGCTGCACCGTATTTTTGTCTGAATATTCACAGTATTTCAATCCATTAATGAGGTCTTTCTGTCATTGCCACTGCAACACACCAACAAATATAGCATGGGTTTACTTTGAATTGGGATGCCATTCCATTATAATTAACGTGTTTTTAAAAAGTACATGTTTGGTTCCAGAAATTCTAATTTGTTTGACATTTTTCTTCATTTATACACAAATTTTAGCGATTCCTATCTCAGTGCATCGTGGGGGCACCACATTTTCATATTTTGTGAGTTCTCAGAGTGGTTCAGTGGGTGAAAAATCTGAGTTTGTATTGACTGTTGTCATTACACTGCATTATACAAAAAAATCCCATTCATGGAGTTTCAGGAGCGGTTTATATTTAAAACTGTGATCACTGGATGAATATTAAAATAATTTCATGCACAAACCAAAATAACAACACTGTGGGTTCCCTTTTATTCTTAAAATTTTATGTACAGGTACGCTTGATTTCTTTTTAATGTACATTCATATAGAAAGTATATATAAGCAATATTACACTGGACACAAATTGCACTAGTCTTTCACATAGATTCATAATCAGACTCAACAGTTGACGCATCAGCAGAAACATCTCTTTTGATAAAATATTATTCATCACTTAAATATTCTAGTGCTTTTTGAATTATTGGGAGAGGAAAGTTGGTTTAAAATTGAGGGAGTACAGCCATCAAAAAAAGATTTAATTTAAAAAGCCAAAGATTTGGTGGACCAACAAAGACAGGAGCCACACAACCAAGGGTTCGAGGTCCTCAGAGGAACAGAGACCATTTCCTTCTTCCAACGCCATTAAACCTTTATTTTTGACTGTTGGCAGTTAGGTCCGATGCACACATTGAGGACAAGTCCACATAGTTGTTCTTGGGACAATAACATGCCAATGATTATTCTTATCCTCATGAGTTAAACTGAGAGAAAACAAAAATCTTGAGTAAAAAATATATCCATACAAAAAGTAAACTTCTGTGTGTCATTAGAATAAACAAGAAAGTACAATTAAACACAGACAAAAGAAGAGAATTTGTTTTTGAAGACTTGAGTGCCGCGTGGAGAGGCGGAGAGGGACAGCGGAGGAGATTGTCACAGTAGTCCAGGTTCTCCTCAGTGTCTCCTCCTCCTCGTGGGGAGATCAGTCTGCTCCCTGGAGCTGTGGCGGGAGGTGCTCTGGAGCTGTGGCGAGTGCTTCACAGGGACATGTCCTTCAGCCTTGGTCTCCCACGTCATTGTCCACAGGGGGAGGCACGCTGGACATTACCGTGGAGCCGGTGCCAGCTGTCAGATAGCCCGCCACTCCTGGACCTGAGGACGAGAGAGACTTATGAGAACGGACGTGTGGACGTGAAAACACTGCCATGGGGTGAAGATGGATTCTATATGCCATTAGTTACTACTTATTAGTTACTATTTTGGTTTATTTTACTTTTGAAGAAATGACATGACATGCAGATTGTTTATCGTTTGAAAATGAAATGATTATACTGTTGAATGAAATGGTAAGATGAAGGGTATGGAAAGGAAAGACCAATTCTACCTCAACCAAAGCAAGACAAAGGTGGGCTTCGAAGCCCAGTGGAGGAGTCTAGAGCCCACCTCGCAGTGGGCTGCTGGCAGCCAGGAGAGAAGGAGTGGACACCCCTGAGGAGGAGGAGGGGGAGGACGAGGAAGAGGATGATAGAGGGGAAGAGGAAGAGCCCAGAGGTTACAGAACAAGCAGAGAACTGGGTCTAAGCACAAGAGTGTCAATCAAAAGCAAAGGTTTGGATTTAGTAAAGAAACACCTTAGAATTACTTTTCCCATGTTATTTACAATAAGGCACACAATGACACACAGACACACACAGACACACAATGACACACAGACACACAATGACACACAGACACACAGTAACGTGTTCTACCTGTCAAGTATCCTGCAGTTTGAGAATCTGAGATGAAGAGATCGTGTTTCTGGTCTTTGAAGGCACTCCACACAGAAGACTTTGCAAGAATCTCATTGACCTGACGACGTTTGAAGAATTATTTGTCAGAATAGAAAAGTTATTTAAAATGTGAGATAGTTCAAATACCTGCTCTCCATACTGCAGACTGCGGGTCATGGACTTAAGTGCTTTTACAATCTGAGCCTTTGTGGCTGATGGGTTATCTAACGTCTCCAAACCGATTCCTTCCAACAACTTTAGGAGGTACGGCACCAGGTCCACGCGGAGAGCCTGCAAACGACAAAACCGTCATCTTCTGTTTTTTTCAATGATTGCCAAACGATTGTACTACAGAAACAATCCTTAACTGCTGTGTACAAAGTCTAACACACGGGCTGAGAGATGGAAACTCAAACAGGGGAAGAATCACATTATAATGACGCAAGAAATAATAAACTGTCCTTAGACCCTTCTGCATCGGCAAAGAACAACTCAAAAACCCTGAGGGAAAAAGTGAGAAACCTCGGGGAGGGCGGTTCCACTCCTACGAACAGGCTGTAGATCCAGGACTTAGGAAATGGGCGGAGTCTAATGTGCTCCTGCTTAGTTTAGTCCAAGGACAGTGGTGAGGATCCAGGACCTCACTGAACTTCCACAGCCCTACAGTCCCTCCCGTCGACTCCGATCTGCAGCCTCACATCTCCTCAGTCCCGCTGTCAAATCCCAGCACCGAACCTTGGGGGACCGAGCTTTCGCCATCTTTGCTCCCACTCTCTGGAACTCTCTCCCCCCCCCACCTCAGAAACTCGGACTCACTAAACTCCTTCAAAAAAACAGCTCAAAACTCACCTCTTCCTCCCAGCATACAACTCTTAGTCTCAACTTTATACTCTTCTTTCCTGCTTTTAGATATTTAGTTTTGTGTGTCTGTCTAAACGTGCGTGTTTGTGTGAATTGTGATGCGTCTTTGAGTTTTTGAAAAGAGCTATATAAAACCAATGTATTATTATCATTATCATGAACATTGGTCATCTGCCCTTTCTGGACCAATGGCTTTATGCGTTTTATTATTATGGCATTTCCTGTGTTTGATGTTGTTGTTGGCAAATTGACAAGTCTTTCGAGGCGACTGCTGCTGTGATTTAGGTACACAAACAGCAAAAATAAATTGAATGGACTGAAAGAGTTTGGAATTATATCTTGCAGCCACACCCCCCTTCTATAGAGGCAACTGAATGTCTATGGGCCTGTATAAGATATAAGACTTTATTGGTCTCACTATAGAGAAATGTACACGTCAACAGCGACTTTTCTTTCTCCGTAAACTTTGTAAACTTTAGGTTCACAAATCCATTCTCTCCCGTTTTCTACAAATGCTTCTTTGAATCAATTCTCACTTTCAACATTACAGCTTGGTTTGGTTCACTCAGTCTCATACATCGGAATTGAATTGAATTGAAGGTAACATTCTATCTAAAGTAACTTGCGAGCCAGATGATTGTTTTACCTGCGCCACAAGTTCAGTCTGCTCTTTCTGGAACATACGGTTGAGAGCTTCGCACGCCAAACCCGCCATATCCGCCCTGGATTTCATACCAGCCATTAACGGTCCGATAGTCTCCAGGGCCGACATGGAGCGCACGCAGAGCTGTAAAAAACAATTCAAAGTCAGCGTGGAAAGCTTGTTCTCACAGACTTCCTGGTTTGTTCTCGTCATGGCTCACCTCGTTGTCGGAAAGAACGTGAATGAGGCGGATGGAGCTCTTGGGAACGGCGTTGTTCCGGTGTTTGAGCGCCGCCAGGATGCGCGGCAGGTGGCCCAGAGGAGGCACTTGGTCGGCGAGCTGGGTCTGGGTGCTGAAGAGGCAGACTGCTGCTGTGGTGACGGTCTCCAACGCCTCCCCCTGAGCAAGGACATGTTCAACACTAAGTCAATGATGAAGGAAGTCATCTAAAAGGTAAAGGTGCAGTTTATTAATCCCCGTGGGGAAATTCATCCTCTGCATTTGACCCATCCTGATACTGCTAAGGCTTAAGTCAGGAGCAGTGGTCGCCGTAGTAACAGTGCCTGGGAACCCATCTCCAGATGTTGATGCTCGGCTTGGTCAGGACCAGAGGTGGAGGATTTAACCTAGTGTACATGTTTTTAGTGGTACGCAGACACGGGGAGAACATGCAAACTCCACTCAGAAAGACCCTTTTCTGACCGGGATTCAAACCCAGGACCTTCTTGCTGAGAAGCGAGAGAGCTAACCACTCAGCTGCCGCCCTTTTTAATTTGTATTTATATAGAAAGCAAAGAGGAAAAGGTCCGAGGCACTCTGATTTAACTTAAAAATCCTTTATTGTGGAAGGAGCTATTTTTGCTATTTTATCACATTTTCAAGAGGATCCTAGAAGAGCCACTCACTAAATGTGTATTATGTTTTTTGATCGCCGTATGACATCACTCCTCTTGTGTTTTTGCTAATCTTTATTTATATAGCGCCTTTTGCGGATCAGTCTCAAAGTACTTTACAATTGTTGTGGGCATTTGTCTCTCTCACTCGGCTCTCACTCCACACAGAGATGGGAGCAGAGTCGACATAAAGGAGGCCCATGCCAGACCTGCTGTACATGGTTTTAATGATGGGGGAAAACCGGCGCACCTGGAGGAAACTTATGCAGACATGACATGCAAACTCCACAAAGAAAGGCCGAGAGGTGGACTAGCAGTGACGCTGGACTCATGTGGTCCCATATCTCAGTGTGTGGGCTTGTGCTTCACTGCAAGAAGGTAGCGTCACTGCTAGTCCATACTCTCGTGCTTCCAACATGTACAGTACCATCACAGAGAAGATTTTAACTGACAAAGCTAACTTTATACTTTTTATATTTATCTAATCATTTTTATTCAATATTTCAATAAAGAGTTAATATTCACTTTTCTTAGGTGTCTGTGTGCTTCTCATTCCTACTGTTTTGTGAATAAATTATCTCTTCATCTTAATCTTAATCTGAAACTCACATTGGGGTTATTCTTCTCCAGCAGCTCGGTCAACGTCTCCAGGAGCGACACCAGGAACTCGCGAGGCTTCCTTAAGACCCAGCCCGGCTGAGCGATGAAGATCCGCAAGAACACGCCGCCCACTTCCAGTTCTCCCTGTCCCGCTCCGTACGCCACCGTGAAGACCTCCGGCAACTTTGGGATCAAAACACGACAGATGTGAGCGAGACCGTGGTTAAAAGTTCATGATTGTGATAAAATAAAGGTTCTCTTACTCTCCAGTTCACGTCCGGATTGTCCTTTTGCTGCTTGAAATGTCTGTTAGGGAGAAAGAACATGTTTACTATACGTTCTGTACTATAAGCCGCACCTGTATATAAGCCGCACCGGTGTATAAACCGCACATGTGTATAAGCCGCACATGTGTATAAGCCGCACATGTGTATAAGCCGCACCTGTGTATAAACTGCACCTGTATATAAGCCGCAGCCGTATATAAGCCGCACCTGTATATAAGCCGCACCTGTATATAAGCCGCACCTGTATATAACCCGCACCCGTGTATAAGCCGCACCCGTGTATGAGCCGCACCCGTGTATGAGCCGCACCCGTGTATGAGCCGCACCCGTGTATGAGCCGCACCCGTGTATGAGCCGCACCCGTGTATGAGCCGCACCTGTGTATAAACCGCAACACACGTTGATAGTTTAGAGAAAAGTAGCCGGTGTCTTACTCGAGCATCATTTCTCGAACCGTGGTGGACACCGTCTCCCTGGAGCTGTCGTTCCAGATGAGTTCTGGATTCTCGTGCGTCCCCTCGAAGATGTGCACCGCGGCCTCGGCGTTGTCCCGCATGGCGTCCATGAAGACCCCGGGGAGGAAGCGCATGAGCGTGAGGCGAACCTGAAAGAGGAGGCCACAACAGCATGAGGTCACAGTGGAGTCTCAATACAAACAGAAAGGAATGAAAAACCATTATTTTAATAAATTATTAATTAACAAAGATAATGACTTTTTACTTCTTCATTTCATGTTTTAGAATGTCGAATAATGCCTTAAAGTAGAAAAGATTCAGTTAAACTAGTATGAATCATTTTGAGCCCTGACACACCACCAGCTGAAACTCTGCAGTCATTATCAACAATGCAACGTCATTCTCAAAGTGTATCATAAAGATAATCAACAAGTTGTTCTAATCTTCTTACAGTATTTTCTTTTCACATTATTTTGACCAATCAGGTGAAACTGGATAATTTCCAACAGCCACCGAACAACATCTCAGGGCACCCTAACCCACAGCTACCACCAGGGGGAGGAGTTGTTATGTTTCTCCCCACCAAATTTGAAAACCACTTGGAAAATTAACCTAAACTTATAAAAACGGCAACACTGCTGTTTTAAAATGCCAAAAAACTGCTGTGAGCGTGATGTCATAGAGGTACAATGACATCGTACTATCACAGCACTGAGGCAGGAGCTTTGAGACAGAAAGGGTTATGTTTTGTAGCAGAAGTTTCCGATTTTAGCGCGGATGGATCTAAAAAAACAGTCTCTTTGATGATGGAGCAATGTTGTAACACGGTTAAACGTTCAGAGAAGTCCACTTTTCCCATAGTCTTTCACTTACTTTAGGTCCCACAAGTTTATCTGACGTCATCTTGGAGAATAACTCTGCCGTCTGTGTGCGGACCTGGGGGTGAGTGCAGTTACAGAAGAGATCCAGCAAATAGAGCAAAGCTCCTGCAACAGAAACAAGGACAATTAGCATAAAGTGCTAAGTGCTCACACATAAAAAAATACCTATTAAACTACTGTATCAACCTTTGGACATAGCCTCTTTGACAATCTTTGTGTTAGAAGTCAGTGCGTACAGTGTCTCCAGCACAATTTGTCTGCCTGAAAGTTGGAGATAAAAGAATATTAGCCCCTTCTTTATGAGTTTACAATCAAAAACGTTAAATTTTAAATCTCACTGGAAGGTAATGAGTGGAGCAGCAGGAGGAGGTTGGACAATACGAGAGATTCTGCGATATTGGTCACACATTCTTGATTTGAAGTTACAGTGTTTACGACCTGGGGAAAAAAAAAGAGAAGAGAAAAACGCTTCTGTTAAAATTATTGAAAAAAAAAATATATATATACTGAGTAGAACAGAAGGACTTGCCTCCAAAACAAGCTGCTGGACCCGGCCCGCTCCGTGAACCCGCAGGAGAGAGAAGAGCAGCTTGAACTGACCGATGCATTCTGTTTCAGACCCTGCTCAGTGGAATAAGAAAATACGTCTTATAAAATTGGTAGTTTAAAAAAAAAAAAAAAAAACAGCTCCCTCTGGTGGTAGTACAGGAAGTTACAGGCAGAAAGCATTGGTCACTTTTCATTATTTTAACCCTGTATTTTCTGCTTTCAGTTGTCATTTCACATTCTAAAACATGAAATTACATCATAAATAATCAGACTGTCTTTTTGATTGAGCACAATAATAACTAATATTAAAGCCGCAAGCGGCGATGAAAGGCCTCGCCCCTCTTGCGACCGCCTCCTTGGCGCCACTCCCACAAGCGTCACGCCGACGAATTGGCAGCCCGATCTGACCAGGATTACGTATATAAAAGTTCATTTATATAATAAAGTGCGTCCCTAGTTGTCCCCTCCGGGACATGCACCCTCTACGTAGAGTAGTATTTTGCTCGTACAGATGTAAAGATTTGATTTTGCAACTTTGGTGAAGATCGGAAAAGTTTAGGTCAGAAGCCTTCCATAGGTGGCGCTGTAGAGTCATATTAGGTGTGTGTTTTCCCACCATTACTCTCAGGTCATTACCAACTGTTAGTGATGTGAGTTTCAGCTCTGTAGGTCTGAGCCTGTGGTCAGGAGAGCATCAAACATGGAGAAATTCCCCACTACCTCGCATGAAAACGATAACAAAATTCTAACTTTTATGCGATGATTGCATAACTTCAATCCGTCCAGATGGAGAAATGACATGGTAGAAGTCTGTGCGATGAAAATCCAGGGACTAGTACGAAGCCAAAAATGCGACACCTTAAACTGCCTGTAGGTGGCGCTGTTGCACTCACAGTTGTGTGTTGTATATCGTTGTGTTCAGGGTCATACGCTGTATTTCTGAATTCATTTTTAGCCTCATCGGACAAAGATTTTGCCCCAAAAAGCTCATTTATTCACTTTACGGCGCCCCCAGTGGTCAGGTGTGGGACGTACAACTTTTGCGTAATGTAATGTTTTGCTCGTCTCGGTCCAGAGAATACACTCAGCGATTTTCGGGCCGATCCGAGCACTAGTGCCCTATTACTTTCCGACAGGTGGCGCTAAAGAGCTCATATCGGGCGAATGATTTTAGTGTCATTGCGTTCAGGCCATAACCTAATATTACTGATGTGAGTCTCAGCTCTGTAGGTCTGAGCTTGTGGGCCTCAGGGCTCAGCGAAAATGGCCAAAACGAAGGCCTTATTCGCCATGGCGAGGGACAAAAACGGTGAAGATTTTCTAACTTTTTTTCGATGATTATATAACTTCAATCCGTCCAGATTGGGAAATGACGTGGTAGAACTCTGTGTGATGAAAAACCAGGGACTAGTTCGAATTTGTAAATGAAAAGTCAAATTAGTGGCGAAACTTCGGCCCATCATGGCCGACTTCCTGTTGGTCCCAGACATGTGCTTAGACCGGCTTTTATGCTCGTCTCATAGAGATCTATTACTCATCCGAATTTTGTGTACCTACTCCAAAATATGCAATCCTGCCTCCAATAGAAATGGAAAAATTTAAATTTTCAAGGGGGCGCTATTGATTCGCCTTTTGTCGGACAATCTGGAAACGTCCGTTTTATCAAATTTTTCGCCGGACCGGTCGTTTTAGACCCCCCATGTGCAGACTTTCGTGCATGTCTTCAGGGTCAAAAATCGAATTGTTTCGGCGGAAAAAGAATAATAAAAGAATAATAATAATATGAAACCGGTGAATAACAATAGGCCTCCCCAATACTTCGTATTGGCTCGGCCTAAATATATATCATAATGTTCAAGATAATGCATGATGTAAAGATATCTATTTTGTGAAAATGTTCTAGAATGTGGGAATTGAAATACTAACTATTTGTCCCACAGTCGGGAAATAAAACAATCTTAATCCAACCTTGTAATCACTGTAGCTACGTTAATTTTTTTATACTGTTAATTTAACTGTTAATCTATTGTTTTGTCTTTTTGTGGACATGAGTTTGAACTAAGTAAGGGCTATGCTAGCTCCACATGAATCTCCGAGCGTGTCCTGGTCTGGTCTCACCTGGGTTGTTCTTAATGACGTTGCGAAGCGCCTCTAAAGCCATTTCAGCGAATCGCAGTCTCTCGGCGTGCTGCTGGGACTCCACTTTGTTGCTCTGACTCATGGCCAGAAGAGTGTGCAGATACTGGGCCTGAGATCCGACGTAGTCCAAGAGACTGGCAGCAAAGGCTTTCGGGTACTGACGGAGCGGATTTGAAGTTGTAAATAAGCATTATGAGCATTGTGATTGATCCTGTGTGTTTCTTACTCACCTCCAGAGGGAATGTTGGTTGTTCATTGTAAACTCGCACAAAAATCTCTCCCACAATCAGCTCTTTATTGTGATCTTCAAACATAAAGTCTGCTCCAAAGTGTTTGTCATTTTCTCCCTGAAAACAGCCAGAGGGATTACAGATTCAGTTTATTTGCCATTTCCAGCAGAACTACACTAGAATACGTTTGCGACAGTCTCCAGTGTGCATCAGACAAATATATTGAATAAAACTGTCAAAAAATGTCTCTGTGAAATCAATCAACAAAAACAGTTTTAATACAAGTACAAGATCATTAAAGTGCTTTGTTCAAACAGCTTGTGGAAAGAAGCCGTTAATGTATCGAGATGTCCTGCATTTCAGTGAGCAACATCGTCTAAAGAAGCTGGAACATGGCTTTTTACCAGGGGAGAAAAGAGTCAGAGCTTGATCGTCTGGATCCATAAAGAGCCTCCAGTACAAGAGGGAAGGAAGTAAGGAAGGACGGAAAGAAGGATTGAATCTTTATGTATATACAGCCTTATGCCTTTCACAGACCGATCACAAGGCGGTTAACAATTGTGGGCTTTTGTCCTCTCACTCCACAGAGATGGGAGCTCTCCTTTCCTCGGCTGTTTTGTCGTTGTTAATATTTAATCAGCAAATTTAGTAAAATAAAGAAACGTGATTACCCTCTTGATGTTTCCCTCCTGCTGAGACTCGAGGAACTCCAGCAGTTCAGCTCGGGTGCCGTTGTTCCAAATCAAGTAGGGGTTCTCAGAGTTACTATTGAGCAGCTTTAACACCTGAATGAAAGAAAACACATCATTAATACAAATGTAAACAGCTTGATAAGTGACTGGTGCCCTTCTTCACCGACCTCAGCCGGAGCACCAGTCCCCAGCTTCCTTGAGATGTACGGTGTTAGCATGGCAGCTAAGCTCTTGCGGATGGTGGGGTTCTCTGGAGGTACTCCCTCGATGCCGTTGGTCTCTGGGAGGTTGTTCCCCTCTGGGCTGGGGGCGGTGGGGTGGTAGCCTCCCAGTCGGCTCAGGGCCACCAGACTGAGCTTGGCCAGGCTGTTGGACACTTCCTGCTGGTTGGTCTCCTGACTGGTCTGGACGCCGCTCTCCTCTAGCGTGTAGTCGTAGTTGAAGAGGTTGACCAGCAGATGCCAGAGGACGCCTGCGTGGTACAGGTGGGTCTGGAGGAAGAAGTCCACGGCGAAGGAGCTGACGCACTGGACGGCCAAGGTGCCTGTTTTGGGGAGCCCCTAAGAAAACAAAGAAAACATTCAGAATAGAATATCTCAATATCCATCCGATCTTCTTCTGCTTTATCCGTTTCCAGGTTGAGGGGGAAGTAGTCTAAGCAGAGATGCCCAGGCTTCACTCTCCACACACACTTTCTCCAGCTCATCCGGGGGAATCCTGAGGCATTAACAGGTCAGCTGAGAGACACAATCCCTCCAACTTGTCCTGGGTCTTCCCCTGGGCTTCTCCTGGTGGAACGTCCCCAGAAGATACCAGAGCCCCCTCAACTTGTTCCTCTCGAGGTAGAGAAGCAGAGGCTCTACTCCGAGCTCCCCCCGTGTGACTGAGCTCCTCTCTCTCTCTATAAGGAAGCGCTCAGTCACTCTGTGGAGAAAACTCATGTGGAGCTTGTATCCGCGATCTCCTCCTTTCAGAACCGTCCACATAATAAAGAGAAAGGTGATCTTACTCTCCCGTGGTAGAGGATGTGGCAGATGTCCCTGATGATGTTGGGTTGTTCTATGATCTTCTCTCTGCACTCCTCGAACTGTGCAGCGACGCTGTAGCACTTGCAGATGTGCCCGCACACCTGAGCAACATCAGAGTCAAAGTAACAGGAAGTCACAAAAGAGGAATTTGTTATGCCATATGGTGAAAACATAAAAAAGAAAAACATGGATATAAAAAAGAAAAAAAACAGTCATTAAATCTTTAGAAGTATTATTATTGTTGTTTACTGTAACATGAATGATATAATGTATTATGTAATAAGTTATTATGGATATACAATGAACATTCAACAACATTTATGGACATATATTGACATTGGTCACCTACCCCTTACGGACCAAAGGCTCTATGTGTTTTTTATCATGTTATGTGTAAGTAAATGATTATGTGTAAGACCAACTAAACTACTACATGAAGAGTACAACTGAACCTGTAAGGAAGTGTGAATGGGTAAAATGTTTAGAAATTAGTTTAGGAATGTATAATGGTATAATATGACATTTGTTACATATATTGTTTTCGGGCCTCGCCTATACGCTAATGCAGCTTCCTGGGAGTTCCCTTTTACAAAACACCCAAAAACTCTAATGTGTCTTGTTTGTCTTATAGTAGTTGTATGTCTGCACCTGTATTGTATGTCTATATTTTCACAATTAAAACATCTCATGCGGTTCAATTTAACGCCTTTGCACAGATGAATTTCTAAATGCGTTTCAAGTACCTGCACTGCCATGTCATCAGGTTTACTGGACGCCGTCAGAACCGCAACACACCGCGACAACGCCTCCAACAAAATCTGGTTCACAGTGATTCAAAAGGGACAAAGTAAATTGCAGTGTTTTTTTTTACAGACTCCACATAAGAACGATGAAGAGTGGACTGAAAAATGACCTCGATGCCGCTCTCCCGCCTCAGCTCCTCTGCGTTGAGGGCGGAGCAGTTGACCGTGTGGAAGGCCAGTTCAGCGGCGGCCGGGAGGAGGGGGGAGGTTTTGGAGAACAGCTGCGTGTCGTCCGTCTCCATCTTGATGGTTTTGATGAGCATGGGGTAACCAGCATATTTATACGGCTCCAGTTCTGTCAAATAAACATGTAGTCGTAATGTATTTGGACATGAAATGACTGGAGTTTACGGCAATTTCCGGACTATAACCCGCTACTTTTTGTTACTTCTTTAAACAGCTAATATAGTGATGTGGCTAATATGTGTATTTTTTAAATGGTAGCGCTGCCAGAGTCTATGGAGTTACTATTTTAACTTCATTAAATCATGTTGTCACCAATACAATCAATAATTTTCAATAATGCAAACACACGGCAGTCATCTCTCTGCTACATTACAACATGAAAACCTGCAACTGATATGCAGGTGCGGCCTATAAGTGGACAAAATTGCTTTTCTTTTTAAATCTAGGTGGTGTGGCTTATATACAGGTGCGCCTTATAGTCCAGAAAGTACATAAATATACTCCAAAAGAGAGGCTCACCTAGTTTGTGGTGATTGAAAAGGATGCTTTGTGTTTTAAGGATGAGAATGATATTTTCTGGGTCTGGTCCATCGATTACTCGTGCGGACTTGGTGCAAAGGAACTCGTAGGCTTTGTTCACTTTCTCAAACATGTCCTGAAGAAAAACATGGCACTCATCACATACACATGGAATTAGTAAACAAACTAAAGATTCTCAGGTCCTCACATACCCGTCCCTCTGTGTTCTTGTCAGGATGGTATTTCTGTGCCAGCCGGAAGTAGGCTTTCCGGATCTTACTCTCCTCATGTCTGCAAGTGTTGTTAGTTATTATTATAATTATATACAGTACCCAGTATGTGTTAGCAGAATCCCTACTGATTAAAATAAACCATTATATTTTGTGGATATATAAGAGACAGAGGCAGACTCACTGTCCCTGTCCTTTGGGGAGATTGAGGACATCGTAGGCATCGTCCACAGACATAGAGGGAGGTTTTTTCTCTACTTCTCTCTTCCAGGCTTCTAATGTATCCTTCAGCAGTTTCACCTGAACATACAGACAACTCTTGTTCATGATCAGCTCAAGCAAAATCACATTTACAAAAGATAAAGTTGAACCCACAGCATCGCGGACTGGCCAGTTGGGGAAGCGGGTGGTGTCGCACAGATGTCTGAGGTAGTAGATGTTGCAGAAAAGCTCGTTGTCCAGCTGAGGGAAGCTTACCACTGGTATGGGACAGTACTGATACAGGGCTCTGGTGTTGCTCTGCAGACGAGGACTGAAGTCTGCCACGTGAGCAGCTATCTTCTCTATCATCATACGCCTGCGGGAACAAAATTTTTCATCTTCTGAATCTATTCAAGTACATTAATGAAAATAGACTCTACCTCATCTCACTGCTCCAAATGGCCTCAGGCGTATCAAACTCTCCAAGAAATATCTCCGAAAAACGCTCGGCTTCATAGTTTTCCAGGTAGCACACCATGGCCTCGGGGAGGATGGAGCCCAGCACACTGCGCTGCACTATGTCCTGACCTTTGGCCTAAGGAGACACATCATAAAGTCACTGTGTGCACATAAATGTATTATGATATTCAGCGCCCTGGTCTGCAAGGCCTCACCTCTTCAGATCTGAAGGCCTGCTTCAGGTGAGTGTACTTCAGGAATCTAGAAAAGAAAGAAAACATCACCATTTCAAAAACAAAATAACAAGTCCATAAACTCTCATTTTTACAGAACATAAACATTACCTAGCAACTGGCAGAACATTTGAGCCGGTGTACATCATAATGAAGAAGAATATTCCCGTCAAATAGAGACGCTGCAGGTTTGGATTGTCCTGCATCACTAAGTACAGGATGTTGGCCACTTTCTCCACCAAGATCGGGTCAAACGTCAACAAAAGCTAGAGAGAAAAAACACATGATGAAAGATACTGAGTGGATAAGTAACTTATAACTTGTTATACTAGTGAAAGTAACAAAGGGACAAACCTGAACAATGTGGGGCAGGCAGGCGTTGTCGCTCACCAACCTCTTGATTTTTGGTAACGGTCGGATAATCGCGTTGTCTTGGTCTCTGTGGAACAAATTCAGAGTGTGATCAGAATCCTGCAGTACATGAGTTTGCCTCCGGAGGGCGCTCTGCTCTCGCTCCCACCTGCTGGGGTAGTAGGAGCACATGGTGATGAGCATGTTGAGGATCAGGGTTGCCAGGTCCGACTCGTTCATCACCGCCTGTCCAGATGCCAGAAGACACCACTTCAGCTGTGGGATGGCCTGCAGGGGGCGCCACCCGTCCATTCCCTGAGCCCAGCAGCGGGTTTTGGCAGTAAGAACTCCCGTGTTCCAGAACTCCTGCATCTGAAAAAGTGGAAATAAGGAGGTAGATTAGGACCAGGATTAAAACAGTAACCCTGCAGTGATGTAGTACCTCCTCAAAACCAAACGGGCCTCTTCGTTCTTTGTCGGCGTTCCCAAAGTACCACTCTTTTTCACTTTCCCTTTTCATGTCAGGTGAAGCTTCCAGAACATTACTCTGGGAATAGATCATGGCGTCAATGAATGAAGATAAACCAGGTTTTTAGGTAACGGCAACAATGTCCGTGTATGCTCCTGCGTCGTACCTGCAGCGGGACGGTGGCTCGGCTCGTGTGGAGATGGGCCAGAGTCAGCAGATCCACCAGAATCCGCACTCCGTTTGAGTCCATCACCTCTTTCACATTTTTCTATACAAAACAGAGTCAGGTTCAGGTTCAGGATCAAAGTCAGGGTCTAGGTTAAGGTTAGGGTTGAAACTCTGAAAATTCTAATATTGTTCAAAAGTCCATTCACTTCTGTAATTCAGCACACAATGTGGAACTAATATTGGAAAAACGTCAGATATATCTAGCCTTTATTTGTTTTAGTGTTGATAATTGATAATTGGCTCACAGCTTGTAAAAACCCCAAATAATAATAAAAATACTAATAAACGTATCAGAAAATGTAAATATTTAGAAAACGGACAAATGCATCAAAATTATGACAAAGGCTTCACAATAATAACTTTGCATGTAATATGTCTACATCAGGCCTGTCCAAACTAAGGCCCACGAGCCAAAAGCAGCCTTCTGTGTCCTTTCATGTGACCCTCTGTCTACTACTAAAACGAAGTAGCCGTTGAGATCATAAACACAAGTTCAGTGTCATCCAGCCAACTTCAGCTCTACCAATAAGCCTGCAATATCTTGTTGTAAAGCTGAGACCCTCTAGAATTCAGCCAGTGACTTTATATGAATATACTGATATTGATTTTTGAGTCACAAAATTATGTAGGTAGCGCTAATATAGCATGTGAGATGGTGAACATTTGTCATTCAGCCAACTTCAGCTCTGTCAACATATGGAAAACAGTTTTATAATCCGTGTTGTTGGCTCCGGAACAAGCCTGAGGAACTAAAGTGGCCTCTTACTAAAAGGTTTGGACACCCCTGGTCTATATCATATCCATTAGTTTCACATTTTGGGTTGAATAACAAATAAATAAACTTTCGACCTTTTTACAAGATTCACCTGTATATGGTTTATGCAATTACTCCAGAAAACAACCCCACATAGATAATTACAGACATACCCTGTTCAGAATGAGTTTGTTGAGAAAGACAATGAGCCTGTCTCTTTCCAGTTTGTCAGTACACTGTAAAAAAATAAAAAACATGAATAAATGTATTTTAAACATAACAATCAAAGCCACACTTACAGTCAGCGGTAATACTCACTCGATCAAGCATTCCTACAATATATTTAGTGTCAGTGAACGGACCGATCTCTTCATAGCACTTTCCGTAGACTATAGCGAGAGCCTGCAGGCATAGGCACTTCATCGTGACTTTGGGCGTGAGCAGAAAGCGGTGGTAGAGCTCGTTAAAGAACTCGTATCTACAGCGAGAAAGGATCTTGTTAGAGCGGGATCAAACTTTGCTTTAATACGCCTGGAATTCAAACTCACGATCTCTTAATGGCATTCGATTCCTCGTTTTCGTCTTCCTCCAGAAGCAGTCGTAGATAATAGTCTCCGATTTTGATTTCGTCAGACAAGCAGTCGTATTTGACCTGGTGAATAATACAGTGAAAATGTGTTTGAAAGTTTATTAAATGGGACATAACCCTGATATGGAAAACAATGGTCTAATACAGGCGTGTCCAAACTCAGGTCCGGGGGCCAAATGCGGATCTAAGTGTCATTTCATGTGGCCCTCTGTCTTGCTAACCCAAAATAGTCTTTGAGATCATAAACACAAGAACACTTTGTCATTCAGCCAACTTCAGCTCTGTTATAGATCATCATAAAGCTCAGAACAGCCCGATGCCAGTCAAGACAGTTGTTCAGTCCGTGAAGGTCGGACCCTGGACTAGCCTGTTGAACTAAAATGGCCCTCTTACTAAAAAGTGGTCTAATAACATGACAATCTCCCAGGACTTTGTTAAACATATAGTTCATATGAAATGCGTAGATTGGGCTGAAACAATGTTGTGAAAGACACCAGTTGCGTAGCTCGCCCTTCGGCCCCTTCAAGTTCCTCCACATATCATCATTTCCTCAGAAAAGCAAATTGGTGAAAGACATGAACCCAGGGGAGGTTCTCGGTGTCTGTGTCAGTGAGAGGACTGAAGGGAGAGCAATGGTGGTGTCTGTATATGAGGATATGAATAACAAACATGCATGAATTAATATAGTTTTGAGGGTGTAACTGACAAGGGAGAAAAACAAAAACATAATCTTTTCTCATGAGCCATAATCTGAGAAAAGTTGGAATCCTGTTTAAATCTGCATCATGGTGTCAATATGACATATGAAGAAAAAGCGCATACTAACATTGTTTTTACAATTTTTTACACATATAAAGTTGGGCACACCTGTATATTTTAAAGTCTTAAATAGTATCTCTATGCAGGAAATGTGCTGCATATATAAAGAGGATTGGATACCTCAAACTCCTGATGGTTCCAGGAGATGACCGTGGCGCTGCCCAGCTCTCGGTCCACGCCAAACGCCCGCATCTCTCCCTCCAGAGCGTCACGCAGCTCCTCGCGGGTCTTCAGGTTCCAGATGAGGTTGGAGCGAGCGTGGTCGAGTTGAAATCTAACAAATCGTTATTATCAGACACAGTATATTCATTCTGCGTTCAAAAGTATGTAGTTATTCAGTACCTGTAGTAAAACAACTCCCAGTTTGATTCGATCTTTATTCGCTGCCTTCGCTTTCTTAAAATCACTGGTTTCTGGTTGGGGTTCTACAAACAAAAGCAGAGTTAAAAGCATTTATTTTTCACATCTACATACAAATAATCAGTCGGTTTGTGAATAAATTAGGTTGAAATAATAGCAAGAATATAAAAAGCTTATGGACACCAGGTGAAATGTGTGAAAATGCCTTTTGAAAAGTTATGTGAAGAAAAGGACATTGAAAAACAAACAGAGAATGGGATCCTAAAATGGGTGAATACTGCATTTGTCGTCATGGAAACCTGGTCTGAACTAAAAACGTTTGTTTTGGGATACAGTGGCTGCTATTTTGTGAATATTTTTGTCCCACTCTCTCTGGTCTCTCCCACTCTCTCTGATCTCTCCTACTCTCTCTGGTCTCCCACTCTCAGGTCTCCCACTCTCTCTGGTCTCTCCCACTCTCTCTGGTCTCTCCCACTCTCTCTGGTCTCTCCCACTCTCTCTGGTCTCTCCCACTCTCTCTGGTCTCTCCCACTCTCTCTGGTCTCTCCCACTCTCTCTGGTCTCTCCCACTCTCTCTGGTCTCTCCCACTCTCTCTGGTCTCTCCCACTCTCTCTGGTCTCTCCCACTCTCTCTGGTCTCTCCCACTCTCTCTGATCTCTCCCACTCTCTCTGGTCTCTCCCACTCTCTCTGGTCTCCCACTCTCTGGTCTCTCTTACTCTCCTCTCTCTCCCTCCTCTCTCCCTCAGGTTTGACATCATCACAATCGCACTTCAGCAGCCGTGAGTTCAGGTGGTTAGAAAAGCATATAAATAGTGCAGCTGCTACTTCTGGATTTTGCTCATTGCTTGTTATTTTTATTGACAAGACACCACTGTCTGTCGTGATACGAATCCAGACAATACTCCGAACATTCAAATAAACTTAAGCTTTGGTTTCCATAATGCAAATTCAAAAACACGCCCACTTTAGCACAGAGATGGAAAATGCCTGATGGACAGAAGAAAACATGTAAACAATAGATCCCATTGGCCATTCCTACTTACCAGGTTATTTCTGTCCTGCTGCAGTGTTTGACAAGAGAAAATCACAATGGAGGATGAGTCACAGACAACATAAAGATATTATCGTTTCTTTGATAAAACAGATGAATTGCCACAAACAGCTGGGTGCATATTGTTGATTGAATTTATGAATTTCATGTATAAAGTCTTTTAAAAGCATGTACAGCTGCAAACCAGAAATGAGCATGAAAGCGTTCAGTTTACTTGGCTTTGTTGCAAATGACCTTAAAGCAAAAGTTAAATCAGAGAGCAGGACTGACACCACTCGGGACTCAAACGGCTTGATTGACAAGGCAGGAAAAGGCAGAGCGAGCATTTTGGCATACAGTTATATGTGAATAGCACAATGCTTTGTAAACATATCTGGACTTTGAATGCATGTGTTTAGTATGATGGGGTTTGTAAACAGTGTTAGTGCAGAAGCAGCAGAATGATAAAGTCTCACCTCCTTCTGAGCGATGCCCATCTTATCTCTCCAGTGCATCAGAACCACATCAGCCTTCTCCTTGGCAAACTTTTCTACCTCTTTGGCGGCCTTTCCCGCTAATCGCTGCCACTCAGGCACCTTGTTGCGATTCAGCTGATCCTGGGATAGATAAATCATGTCCATTTATTACATTTATAAACTAGTAGTAATACATTGAATTATGTATTTATTTTGGTCATGTTTTAAAAAAAAAAAAATAACATATTACATTTACTGATTGTATTAAAACCAAAAAAAGGATTGGGCAGTAGCAACTTGTTTATGTAAGTCCAACCTGACATCACGACACAGACAGGTCAGTGGCTACTTAACATAACAGCAGTGTAAAAAATAAAATAAAATAAAATACATATTATTGTTTTCAAACTCAAAATACATATTTGCTAAAACAATGTATTTTTTTCCACTTGTTTATTTCATTATTAATTTTATCATTAGATTTATTTGTAAGGCAAAGTATGTGAATTAATTATTTCACATTTTAAGGTAGAAGAAGAATACCGTGGCAAGTTTCAAGTTGTCCCGGATGTGCATTCGATCGACATCTTTCTCTGGAACTGCATCAGCGCTGTCGAGGTACGCCAGTAACCCCGTCGGCTAAAGGAAATAAACAACACATCAGAGAAAGCGACACTCATTATGGGCTCACGGCTTGTTGACATTTTCGTAACTTCTTTGAAACCAGGGCTGTCCAACTGGTTCCAGAAAGGGCTGGTGTCGCTGTAGGTTTTAGTTCCAACTAATTAGGAGCACACCAGACTGGGCTCACTAGAAATGGGTGGAGTCTTGTTTGCTCCTGCTTGGTTATAACGAAAACCTGCAGCCGCCCCAGCCCTTTGAGAACAGGTTTGACACCCCAAAATTTAGACAATATTCAGCGGTAGCATTAAACATTATTCAAAAGGCTTACAAGTATTCTTTTCAACAAGTTCATCGCAACAGGGTTTTCCGCCGTCCACAGTCCAACAAGGTGTCGACTCAACTGCCTGAAGGGAGAAATATGGACAAAGATATGCTGATGAACAAACCTAATGTAATAAACATCTTAAGGGCTAGAAAATCAAGGTCTAACGTGTGACCTGTTTGTAAGCATTCTCTGGTCAGAGCTGATGGTAAACAAGGACGTGTGCAAATGCCTCGGCAGGGCTCCTTCACTCAGTGCTAGCTCCTGCATCTTTGTGGCAATCTCCTTGTCTCCCTCCTGTATCACAAACACACAAACACACACACAAATAATCACAGTGAGTTTGTTAGCATGCATAACAGATTCATATTCAGTTCATTTGCAGTAAAACTAGCAATGGGAATTGGCTAAAAAAAGGAAAGATAAGATAAGATAAGATAAACCTTGATTAGTCTCACAGTGGAGAAATTTCAGTGTCATCGTTGCACATTACAGCAGAGAAAGGAAATAAGAGCACTCAGATTGCACACATCAAAGTCTATTATTTAAGATAATAGACAATAATTTAAGATAAAATAAAATAAACTCTGGGCTATAATTGCACTTGGTTCGGAGTATTTACAGATGTCTATATTATACATTAGCAGCGGAGAATATGAGAATACGAATATGAGCAGAATAAACATCAGAAATAATATCAACAGGTAAAATCCGATAGTATTGCGATAATGTGGGCCTCAATTCAATATTATTGCGATTTAGCAAGTATTGTGATTTGATTCTGCAATATATTGAAATTCTAATCTCTCATATTATTCAAAGACGTTAAAAAAATGTATTAAATATCACAACACTTGGATCTACTGTATTCATTTAATTATTTTTTCCCCACTACTAAGTAAAACCACATTGGAATACATGTGAAGTATCCAAGTGTGTACCAGACTACATATAATAAAACAAACAAAACATTAAAATTGAATTGTTACTGTGAATCAATCAACAGGCAGACGTACTTCAATAATGGCCTTCATGACCAGGCCTGCTCCTTTCACAATCGCCATGGAAGGGTGCTGGGGGCGACAAGGGACAAGTCAGTTTACTCTGCACGTAGGTAAGACTAAAAAGAGGCAAGCGTCAAACATGGCACCTGGAAAAGTTTAAATAGCGTTCGTCCGTTGGAGGCGACCATCTCGAGCAGCATGTCGAACTGCTGACCCTCTGTGGTCTCGCTGTACGGCGCACACAAGGCGAAGGTCAGGAAGTCCAGCAAAGAACTGATGACCAAAGCTCCAGTCCCATGGTCCTGGAATCAAACGCAAAAAAACACACAACAATAAAAAAAATTCCTTTGTGGATTGCATGTACTTCACAATATACACCACTACTCGAGCTGTACCACGTTGGTGATGAATTTCTCCAGGAGGTTTTCCAGGAATTTCTTCGAGGACAGGAGCGAGGCCTTGTTTAGCTGCTCTTGCCTCAGGTCGTAGTCGTCGTGCATCGGCTGCATTGGGGGTGACAGGTGGACAAGAGTCAAACCGTCTGTCAATCAGCCCGATGTGCCACATGCGCGCTCATTAACCTCTACTTACACACATAAGGGCGCAGAGCATGTCGATGGCGGCGTGCGTCACACCGTTGTTGTTCCTTTTTAAAGCTTTGACCGTCTTCACGCCCAGTTTTTCCCTAAATCTGGAAAAAAACGGGCAAAGGTTAAACCAGAATGCCTTAATAATTGCTGCACTGTATACCTACCAACTACAGCAGGGGTGTTGAACAGGTTCCAGAAAGGACAGGTGTGGGTCCAGGTTTTTACTCCAACCAAGCAGGAGCACAGCAGACTCTACCCAGTTCCCACCGTTAAGTAGTAAGTGATCTTTATTTATATAGCGCCTCTCACAGACCAGAATTACAACGCGGTTTACAATTTTTGAGCGCATTTGTCCTCTCACTCCACACAGAGATGGGAGTGGGGTTGGCGTATGGGAGGCGCAACAGGCCTATTGTATATGTTTTTAGTGGTAGGGGAAACTGGAGCACCCGGAGGAAACCTACGAAGACACAGGGAGAACTTGCAAGCTCCACACAGAAAGGCCTGGAGGATGAGTTGATTCTTGCGGTGAAGCACAAGCGCTAACCACTGCACCACTACTCCGCCCCAAGTTAAGACTGGACTCACTGGGTGGAGTCTCGGTGTGCTCCTGCTTGGTTGGAACGAAAACCTGCAACCACACCGGCCGTTTGAGGACCGGACTGACACCCCAGCACTACAGCATCACAACAAACCCTTATTCTCAGAAGTCTGGGACTAATTACTCAGAGAAAGTACTGCTTTTGTATCTTTTGCGCCCCACCATCAACAACACAACATTAACAAACTACACACAAAGTCAATTAGGATAAAAATAGCTTCTCAAAACTACAAAACGCTTTGCTGTGGCTGTAATTGTCTTGTGGTAGAAACAGAAACAAACAAGTTCACCAGGGAATTAATCTCACATGAATCCCAATTAGGGTTTAGTATCAACAGTAAATACACTTCCTCTCATACATCTCAGTGACCCGGTGAAGGACGATGTAGACTGAACAAAACAAATACAGCTAAAATCAATCCCTCTTCAGTTTTGAGGAAGGTGGAAAAACAGCTCGGTACAAGTCGAACAAGGCCATAAACGGAACATGCCTTTTAGAAAGCCAGGGTGAAAGAAAAACACACGGAGGATGAGAACAGAGTAAGCAATGGTCCTTTTCACAACAGCCAGGCTTCTCGTGATCAGGGACTCCATTAAGACGCTTAACACTAGAACTCCCAGAGCAGTCAATTTCAAGTTATATTAAGCAGTTTTATCACTTAATAGTGTTAACAATAGTGTAACACTAAAACTTTTCGGGGGGGATTTTTTTAGAATCCTTCTGACTTGAATGGGGCAGTCAAAATAACTGCTTTGAGAGTTCTGGTAGTTTCAGAGTTCTGGGATTCCTAGGGTTAAGTTCAGAAAATAAATGAACGGATATTTAGTTTGGAATTGATTTGTAAATAATGTAAATAAAACGATGTATCCATGATAATGGCATTTACTGCCATTCTTCATCCATTAACACCAGAACTCATAGCAGTCAATTTGACGGCTTTTCATTTTGGGAGTGTAATTATTCCGCGTATGTAGGTTTATGGTCTCCAAAATGCTTTTTCTGTCTCTACTTGTGGTTTATATCTATGAAACTATGTTTAAGAAATTATTTTGACCCTAGTCTGGGCCAAGACAGGTTCAGAGCCATCTCAGCTTGAGGCAAGTGCTAGTTTCCATAGCAACAAGCCATTTACTAGCATTAGTTAGCATTTCTTAGCATGTATTAAAGATTTCTTTTTTTTACACGTAGGAATTACTTGATTTTAATAAAAGTAGTGACCCTAAATTGGTGAGATTTTTTCAGAATTCCATTATTTTGAATGGGAGCCATCAAAATGACTGCTCTGGGAATGTTAAATGATAAAAGAATATCCTCAGGTAAAAAAAAAAATTAAGTAACTATCAAAAATTCGAGTTATCGAGTTATGACAGAGCCTGGTTGATGCAAAAAATATGATCAAAAATCAAAATGGCAAACAGGGTGCACTGAGTTGCATGGATTCATATTTACGTTCCATCTGAGAGTCCAGACCCTTGACCAGACCTTGAAACGACAGAGCATGCCGTTAACAGCATGTGCTTTCAAAGAGTAAGCTATGAGAGGGCTACTGCTGAGGAAAGCTGCGTTCATACTTGGGGAGCTGAGTGAAGGCCTGGAACCCGGCTTTAGAGGCCACCAGGCGTCGGATGGCCTGGAAGTGGCTCTCCAGCTCACTGTTCACCGCCGGTAACTCCACCTCCTGCGACAGAAGGGCCAGGATGGCGTTGCTAATGAGCTTCTCTTTGTTCTCAGAGAAAAGGCCCTGGGGTGAAAGAGACAGTGTTAGTGCAAAGTTAAAACACGTTGTAGAAGAAGAAGTAAAAGAATGGCTTACATCTTGAGTCACGGCGTGTAAAACCCCGCTGTACGATATGTTGGCGTTGAAGCGAAACACGGCGTCAGCGAAGTTTCCATCTGAAGAGAAAAACCAAAGTCATTGAAGTTAAGAGATTTGGAGAGATCCTTAATTTGTCCCACTGTGGGGAAATTTCAGTGTTACAGAACAGTAGGAATGAGGAACACACAGCACAAGATAAATGAGGAATAGCTCTGTACTAAAATAAAATGAAATCTCTAACATTAGCATAATAAAGAAGCAAGTATAACATTTCTATCTAGCAATTATAAAGTATTATTTAATGTTTATTCTATAGTGCAATATCCCTGTCAAATAAAATAAAATAAAATAAGTAAAATAAATAAAATGAATAGAATAAATAGAATAAATAAAATAAATAAAATAAATAAAATAAATAAAATAACATAAAAATAACAATAAAATAAATAAAATAAATATGTTAGCAGCATGAGGGTCTGGAACAGTGGTGGTCCCATAAGTTGAACTACACTTCCACACAGCACGTACTTGGTGGTGCTGCCAAGAATCTAAGATGTAAGCTCTCCACTTCCTCGTCCACAGGCATGCTCAGGAGCCCCCATCTCTGCCCTCGCTGAGTGGGGGCCATCTTGACACACACATCTCTGTTGCCTGAAGCACGTACTCCATCAAGCAAGCTCGCTAACAAGGAGTCCCTGAAGAAGAAGAACAAACCCAGATCTCATAACATAGATACGTTTAAGTTTGCACTGAATCTGAAGTTAGATCTATACCTTTCTGTGGAGGAGAACTTTCTAATCTGTCCTCTGATAAATTCAACTGTGAAAATCTGAGGGTTGTCTACGTCACAAATAAGTGCAAATACCTGAGGGAAGAACAGACAACGTGAGCCATGTATACACAGTGATGTACAGTAAGTTTACTTTTCAGTTTGTGTTAGCAAACAAAAACACAAAAAACTGCAGAACACAATCATATTTTGGAAACACTTGATAATAACTGCACCTTATTTAGGCTTAATAAATGTTGAAATAATGTTTAGTTAAGTGTGACCAACACTTAATTAGGAGCACTTTGATGACGCAGTAAAGTCAAAGTGCTCCTAAGATATTACTAAGCTTCACAAGTAGTTAAGTAGTTATTAATTGTTGGTCACACTTAATTAATGAATTGTTCATAATTAATAAAGTCTTATTTCAACATTTATTAAGGCTAAATAAGGTGTAGTTATTATAAAGTGTTACCATAATTTTTAATGTCCTAAAATGTACATTAATATGAGTTGAATTGAAAAGGACTGAAAAATTATTTATTGTTTTATTGTGAAGAGATTCTCTCATGTCATTGTAATCATACCATCGACCTGTCCAGGGACAATGGGAGGAAACTAGCATTCTTGCTAAAACATGCAAATTTTTGTAATTGAAAATAAATAAATACATTGGACTTCTTTAAATCATTAACAGATATTCACGGATATTCACTCATGTTAAGTAAGAAAACTCTAGAGAGATGTTTGTGGGAAGCTAAGTCTCTGAATAGAAAGCTGCTACTTTTAAGCGTAAAAAAGTTAAATTCAATTAAATGAAAAAATATACATGTGAGACAAACCATACCTCTCCAAAAGGTTTTACTGTAACTATGTTGTAAGAAGCCGGGTCTCTCTCTACCAAACACGTTTCTGTCAGCGCCAAGATCCGTCTCACGGGTTCCTGGGAAAACAAAGCGTTCCGATCGTTAACCCGTTTATCTGTGATACACCGCTAAACCTCAGTCGGCGAGTTACTGACCGGATGCCGAGACGTGATCTTCTGAACCACAAACTCTGCTAGAGACGTGATGCTCTCGTCGGAGCTGTACTTCCCCAGTCTGTCCGTCAGAAAGCCCTCGAAGCTCAGGGGGTCCTTCCGCAGCCGGAGCGTGATGCCGATGAAATTCCCTGCGTGTTCTATGGCGCTGCGAATGATTTCATCTCTATTCTCCGAGGCAAAGAGATGCTACAGGAGCGGAGAGGAGAGAGACGGGCAAAGTTAAGAACCTACTTTTTGGACCAAGTGATGATAAAATTGAATACTATACAGGTACTAACATTGCCAATTTACTCCTGTCTGGTATAGAAGAACCAAATACCTTAATTGATATGCTATTTTATTCATTCGTTATTTTGTATGCTCTTTACAAGTCAATTTCTGGCTCAGGGGAGGGGGTAAGAAGAGCTGCATAGAACTAGCGTCTCACTGATCCTCCTGCAGGTGGGGGGTCAACAGGAGGAGGGCTGCTGTCAGCGATGACACAGACAGGCAGGATGGGGTTGAGTGTCTTGCCCAGGGACACAACTACAGCAGAGGTCAGTGGGAGAAGAGGGAGTAGGTCTTGTGAGCACCTAAGATTGACCCACTGTAGATTAATTGATTAGTTGAATTACTATTTATTTACTTTTTTTTGGGAAAGTGCATATTGAACACACATCTCCAAACTGTCGACTCATTTGCATTTATTCTCTGACAGTCACAGATAAGATATTACTTTATTCGTCTCACGGTGGAGAAATTTCAGTGTCATCGTTGCGCACATTACAGCAGAGAAAGAAGGGAATAAGAGCACTCAGATTGAGCACATGAAATAGTCTATTCTTTAAAACACACTCTCATTCACCCTGAACTATGTTTCTAGTCGTAGGGGAAACCGCAGCACCTGGATCAAACCTATCCAGACACTGGGAGAACATGCAAACTATACAACATAACAAGATTGCTTACCAGCCGACTGAAGCCTCCGTGAAGGATACAGAAGCCCCCTTGGTAATCGGTCACCTCCACAAAGCCCTCGATGTTTCGGTAATCGTAGGAGCAGACCACTCTGTTGGTCTGGGGGTCGATCTGGTCGATGCCGCCCGGAGTCACCTCCAGATTCACAGACTTCCGCGTGTCGCTCCAGTGGTGTTTGTAGCAGTTGAAGCGCTGTGGGTGTTGAGGAAAGTTATGGCCCCGCTTTTACCCCATTCTGCTCTCATCAATGCAGAATGTAGACGCACTTACCCTGCCGGTGATTTTTCCCTCCGAGAATTCTGTTCTGAATCGCTGCAAAAAACAATCAATCGTCGGTAATAATTTGCAATTAATAGCTATAACGGTCCTTCACTTATTCAACAAATTGTACGGCTATTTAAAAGTGTGATCACATGTGAGTATTAGAGAGTAATTAACACGAGCCTGTCAGCCAGTCCCACCCGTGAAATGTAAACAGTTCATTGAGTCTCCTCAGGCAGCATTTCAGATTCAGAACAGTCTTCCTGAAAATGTGAGACAGGCTAGTACTGCTTCATTAATTGTGTAGGTAATTAAGCAGTACAACTTCTTTATACTTTTTAGCTCATGAAAAGAACCTTCTCAGCTTTAAACAAAAAGAGACCAAATTAACTTTTCAAGAATGTACTGGTTATTTGCAGTAAAACCACATTGGAAAAACTGTGCGAGACTACCCCAGTGTGCACCAGATAGAGAATATAGTACACACGAGGGCTCCTGTCACTGACTTTTCACATTTAATGCTAAGAATTTGGAACACAGTGTCTCAACGCTTTCCCAAAGAGCCCAAGCTACGTATTCAAGCAGTACTAGCTTCTTTACACTTCTGTCTTATCAAAAAGGACCTTCTCAGCCAGTCTCACCAGTGCTTCCGTGAGCAGCTCCGTTCGGTGATCTGTGGAGAACTTGAGCGTCTCCGACTTCTTGTTTGTGCCTCTTCGAAATGTGAGGTTGAACTCCGTCCCTTGTCCTTTCCCCACAGGAGAGATGCCACAGATGTCCCCATAAGGCCACTACGGGAAACAGAAGCAGAGCCGATTTCAGGATTTTACACAGAAATCAACTTGTTTAAAATAATAATCAATGTGAACTTGCTAACCTGGTTTGTTACTTCTAATGTTGTAGGATTGTATGTTGTAATGCCATGGGTGCCCACAGAGAATACACGCTTGTACCTGGAACAGAAAGGCAGGATTAGTCATAATAACAGAGCAAAGAGCATGGGAGAACGAGGAGAAATGGAGCTCAAAGATGTGTGTATTCAAAACAACACATTTCTCCAGTACACCAAAACTGTTTTTATATCTGACTTAGATGAAGCCTTTCTCTCTCTGCAATGACAAGTCCAAACATGACGACATTTACGGCCAGTATGGGTGATATCACTTCACATGTATCGGGTGAATCAGCAGCAGTCCTCAGAGCTAAAAGTTGGCAGTATCAAAACCAGCTCCAGACATAAGTGGTCGGATCAGCGAGAAACCAGCTTCCATTGGTGTAGTGAATACTGCCATGTGTCCTTGAGCAAGACACAGACGTGAAACTGGTGTATGGAAGTGTGTGTGAGTGGGTGATTGGTTCCTTAATGTTAGTGGTAGAAAATCTCTCTATAAACCTTATTTATTGTATGTAGAAGGAATTATTAGCTTGCTTTTTATGGGAAATAATTTGAAGACCCACAATACTATGCATAGTTCCTTATATAGTTTGAAATGTTCTCAGATGGAAAAGATATCTGGCTTTCATTGTACTGCGTTTGTACTTTATTTTTTATCATAGAATTACAGAAAATTCAATCTAATTTCTTCTGTCACAATTGATATAGTGCACATGACACGATTACCAATACATTCAATGCATTTCATTCAAAAGTGCACAACCGTCTTAAAAAGCAAAATACAACATCATTATAGTAAGCTCTGGAATCATAAAATCTAGTCTGACAGTATACGAGTATGTTTAAATATAGCCGATTGATCAGAATTGCCGGTAATGCTTGCTCCATGTCCAACAGCTCGTGTCTGGCCTCTGGCTTCACGTCCCGTTCCTCAAGTCTCAACCTTGGTGCTCAGAGGAGGAACATTACAGACTGTCAGCACAAGCCTTGTTAATTATTCATTCTATGTGGGCTGCCTTTTTCCTCTCCATTCTATCTTTGCACATAACGAAACCTGCACCAACCGGATCATCTAATACAAACTACGTAACTCTTAGCATTCTCAATTAGCTTTAGATGCTAATGCTAACACAATCAAAACTTCTGCATTGGTTCAATCATTGGCCATGTTTACTATCAGGCCCAATATTGATACTGGTATCCATTTAGAATCTCCTGCAAGTATTTAGGGCTGTCAGTTAATGGATTAATCACGACTAATTGATTAATGGAATAGTTGTCAGCTAATGTGACATGTTTTAAACTAGACTTAAACTTACTCAGGAGAGGTTTTATGAATGTGCTGTCAATCAAACAACCCAAATTGTGATGTTTATATTTACAGTCAGTGGTAACTAGTCATGGTCATTAGAAACATAACCCAAACTTCACCCCCATTGCCTAGAATAAGTCTGGTGTGTGTGTGTGAATGGTTGGTGGTGGACGGAGGGGCCGATGGCACATACTGGTTCTGTCAGTGCGCCCCAGGGCAGCTGTGGCTACAGTAGTAGTTTATCACCACTGTGTTTGGAGTGAAAGAATAATGACATGACACTCAAAGACACTTTCTTTGAGTGTCCAAAAAAGCGCTGTACAAAACCGATGCATTATTATTATTATTCTACAGAATATTTCATAATGCACAACACATTTGGCAACTTCCTGCATCTGACAAAATCTCTTAAGCCGTAATCACCGCACATCCGCCTAAACTTTCACATGAGAAAGTGCCTTCTTCAGACAAACAGTAGTTGAAGGTGGACGGTCGTAGATTTGGTATACGAGAAATTAGGGTAAAGATTTGGGATTAGGGATTAAAAGTTTAAAAGTAAGGCAGTTATAGATTCCAGGGTTGTATAAGGTATTTCCACAAAAAGTGTACCACAATATTGTATCAAGGACCCTTATTACAAGAGGAATAAAACTAAATTAGTGGCACCAAAAAATAATGTGTTTGCGATCATGGGGAGCACGGGTTGATTTGGAGATTTGGTGTTCTGTGGTAGCACAATGATCAATTCAGACACACACAGACTAACCCAATACTCTCGTCATAAGGATAGAATTAAACAGTGAGTCAGATGAGAACGGGATGATATAAGGCTCTACTCTAGCACACAGAAATATGCAGTAAAAACCTTTTGATCTCTATTTCTCTTAGTTTCTCTTAGTTTAGTCCTATATCTGGATTATCCACATGAATCTCTGCACAGTCTTGCTTCTGTTATATGATCCCAGGCCTGTGTTAATGGGACAGCACATGAGAAAGCAGGTATTGGTAATATGATCTCTCTTGCTCTGCTTTGCCTGCGTCCTTTACTTTCCTCAGCAGAGCATCACGGACACTGCTACTTTGAGGTCAAAAGCTCTACTAGGCTCGACAAAGTAAACTACTAGTGACTGCTTGAAAAAACGATAATAACTTTATATGATGTGTCAAAGTGGACAAAAAACTCAGGATGTTGGATTTTATTTCAGTCGTTTTTTAACTAAGGCTAAGTTCTGTTAATATGCATTCAAAACCTTAAACATTAAAGACATAACTTCATACTAGTTTGTTATTTACTTGATCCAGTATTTCACGATTTCTTATATCAACTCCTTGTTTCTCTCTGTGATGTACTGATGTCATTTTGATTATATTGTGTGTGTGACTGGTACGGGGCGGCACGGTGGCTGAGTGGATAGCACTCTCGCCTCTCAGCAAGAAGGTCCTGGGTTCGAATCCCGGTCGGACCAGGGCCTTTCGGAGTGGAGTTTGCATGTTCTCCCGGTGTCTGCGTAGGTTTCCTCCGGGTACTCCGGTTTCCCCTACCACTAAAAATATGTCCAATAGTTCTGGCATGCGCCTCCTATACTGGCGACCCCGCTCCCATCTCTGTGTGGAGTGAGAGACAAATGCCCAAAAAAAAATAATTAACTATTGTAAACCGCTTTGAGACTCAGATCTGTAGTGAAAAGGTGGTATATAAATAAAGATTACTACTTACTACTACTTACTATTTAACTACAAATGAGATTAACTTTTTATGCCCTGACAAAGAAGTGGGCCTATTCAAACTAAAGGACCTGTAAAAAAAATCAGTCTGAAGGCCTCGTACCATCTTGACCCACTCACAATGAGGCCGATAACATTCTAGACTAAACCCAACACCACAAGAAATGACACAAAAGTGACTTGGGTTACTTTGGCTTTCTTTGCCAATACCAGATATGGACCAATACCAGTGAAGGGACAAAACGATCTCTCCCCCCTTTATCATGGTCAACTTTCCCCAAAAGGTTTTTTTGAGTGACGACAGAGATTTCAATGAGCAATACCTTAACACACTATGACATTCTGGGTTAACAGAAGCCAGTAAATCAACTATAGTAAATAACTCAAACATGCAGGAATCATGCAACTAACAGGTGTTTGTGTGCAAAAAAAAACAAGGGACAAACCCACTGCATGATCAAAAACTGTGAAAAGTTGATTTTTTATGCATTTCTTGAGACCTGAGACTATATCTAGAATGGATAGTTTTTTAAAAGACAGGTTTAAAACTTACTTCCCCCTCCAGGAGTGTTTGGTGGTGTAGAAACAGGCCAGATCTTTGTTATCTTTGACGACGTTCATTTTTTCACAGGACCTGCGAGACAAAATATTACATAATTTAGTCATTATCTGCAACAGAGTACAAAGATTGCTGAGAGACGCATGATCCCAGTGACCGGCAGTAGTTGAGACACTTCCGCCATGTTTTTTTATGAATGAATGAGTGTGAGAGTTTCACTTCAGTCCAGTCCAGGGGCAGGGGAGCACTTAGCAAGTCATCATCAACAGTGGACAAGCGCCAGACTAGAAGTGTATCGAGCAATGTCAGATTTAGTTCAACACAATGGGATGACAGTGCTCTGGTTTACGGATGAGTGTGTGGTACAATTCAATAAAATAATCAAAAGTAGCTCAACAAGTCTAGCCATATCAGCAGACTTCATCACTATCACGAGCTTCTAAACCGTTTATCTGCAACAGCTTGTCCCCGAAAAAGTCTATTTTGATACGTTTCTGATATAACTGGAGAATAATGTTTCGACAATAAAACAACTTGTTATGAATTGTGCTAAATGTGACCATGACCAATTCATTCATATAAAGCCTTTCACTGATACTGCCTGATGCCACTTGACAACATTAGTGCTGGCCTCTGCCCTGGGAGAACAGAGGGTGCTGTGGATCCTGGTCCAGGCTTGCTCAATGTAATCTGTCCACTGAAGGATTGCAATGGTTTCATTCATACATGTCAGATTAGGTGCAGAGTCTGAGAAACAATAACAATAAGTCCCTTCTGACAAAAAAGTCCCACATGGACTAATACTGGGGGCCTTGTTTTTCAGATTGTCAACCACCTTACCGTGAGCAAATATATGAATGACAAGCAGATAATGCTAGCTGTCATTTATGCACAAACACATGAAGTAAACTTTTAAAATACACAAAATCGAAAACATCTAAAGTCCAAAAAATATTGACAAATACTTTAACAAAACAATCATTACAATGCTTTCCAGAGAAGACCTGTCCAGATGTGTCCTTGCACTTATTCTGTGGATTAAATGTCGTATCCACATTTTTACAGGTTCAATATCTGTTTTGTTCCTGCCAATGTGGAAATGTCAGACCCCTCGTTCCAGAAGCAGTTCATTTCGGTCTTGTGCTTCTTATTGTTATGTCACAATCTCGCCATTTAAGAGTGAAAAGTAAGGCCTGATGTAGAGCCCAGGCAGTATAATTTTATGACATGTTTTGATATGCATCAATCAGGATCAGTCAACTCCTCGATGCCGCATCAGCTATGACCGTAAGTATCTGAAGAAGATGGAAGTTTGCCGTCAAAACGTGTCAAGATAATAACATCGCGATTGCACATTTGTCTGGTATAGCCATATTCATTGTCAAACCACCCAACACTACAACAGTTAGAAAAAACAAAACCACTAATATTTATTTAATTCAATAGAAAGGTTGTAGGAGTAAGATGTTTATTTGACATATTAATTATAGAAATTAAATCAATTCCAATACACCTGTCCTTGAGCACCAGACATTTATTTTCTCTGCACCAAGCCTGTCTCAAGTTTATGTAACGCACCTTTTAATGTACAACCGCACACTTCACACACTCACTCTAGATACTGCGTCTGGAAGGTAAAGACTCACAGCTGCTCGCCAACCCGTGACTGGCCAATTCTACAGCACATTTTAAACATAAGCCATTTATTAAAGTCTGATGGCAACACATGATCCAGTCTCCTCACATATACTGCAAACTCCAATTAAACAGACATGCCTGTTGGGAGAGGAAAAACAACCTGGTGTTTGGAGCCTGGAGGAAGGAGCCGTCAAACAGCTGATGGCCGGTCGATACTCTGATGTAGAGCCCGTGTGTGGGTATGTGTGTATGTGTGTGGGGCCTATTGATCACTCTGATAAACAGATGGAGCTCTATGAAAAACACCCACATGAGAAGAAGACGTTTGGGCGAAACAATATAAACATACATCCCACTGACAACATTATGCTTTTTATGGGTTGAATTATGTTGTCTCTATAGTAGTGAGAAGTACACACGATCATGGGGAAATATCTAATGTACCATAGCATTACAAGCATGTGAATAAAATGAAGACAATGTTGAGAAGGACTGTTCTCTCAGTGGTGTGAGATATACAGTGTGCAGAGATGGCAGACTAAAGAGGCCATCAACAAACACTTTCATTTAAAATAGACTGGGTGATAAATGTTCTGTTAAGGCCAGATAAACAAGACCAGTTCCTCCTGACAAATACCAACATTAAAAAAGGCTAACTAATCAACTATTGGAAGCCATTTTTTAACATAAGCAGTCTAATCCTCAGTTACTGCCAGCAGCTGCACTGATGAGAACCTGTGTCAGCATTCTGTCAGGATCCAGGAAAAGTCGCACTCCAGTTTTCCTTCCTCTCCATCGAGGACGACAAATAAGCAAGATAAAGATTCAAATCCCCAACCATAATAAGCCCAAGTGAACTGTGGACACAACATGGGCATATGGCTCTGCTTATGCCATGACCGTTTGGCGTTAATCCTTCAGTTGCACACGAGGACTCCTCTTGTGGCTGAATAATGAGAAGAATGACTGACACAGTGGACAATAGGAGATGTTAGGAGCAAGCAGTGCACGCTGACCCTGCCCTGCTGAAGAGGACACTTTGATTGCTTGTGCAAAAAGAACTGAGACAGACTATTGAGGAGTCATGTGACCAGCCTCAGTCCACTTCCTGCCTGTATGCAGATGAATAGTAACTGTACATTATGGAGGTTAATAATATTACTGAAGAGTCACTTGAATGAACATTACATAAACATGATTAAAACAACTTTATGTGGTTACTTGGGATTATTCATTTGAAAACCAGCTCAACAGTTAAACATCTAGTTGTATAATTACAAAAGACACATGACATATGGAATATTTACAAAACACATGTGTTTTAATGCTTATCCTTGATGGAACGGCAAACTATTGTTGACCTTTATTTAACTCAAATGGTCCCAAGATTTCAGATTATACAGAGAGCTACATTATTATAACAAAAACATATGTAGTTTTTTTTCTTCATAAATGATACCCAACACATTGGACTTTATTCATAAACATCCAGAAGACTAAAACTTAAGTTTCCTTTTCTTAGATAAAAAGTGCAATAGAACTAGACAATGGGAGTTTATTTGTAAAGCACAATTCATACACAAGTTCTGAACAAAAGAAAACTATAGACAACTACTACTGTAAGAAGCACCAAACAGCAGCAACTATAATGAATCACACAGTCTTGTCAGCAGTTATGTATGAATAGTGTTGGAAATCTGACATATTTAATTAACCATAAAATACATAATACAATTTGCTTTCATGCATTTCATTGGACAAAGGTCGACGTGTCATGTGCCATTACTTCACTTAACAGCAGTATAAGACATTTTCATTGGCACTAGTTAAACAATGTCCAAGAGAAACGTCAAATCAACAAAGAGTGACGACAAACTATCTTCCAATAACAAAACTACGCTCTTCTAGTTCATGCATGGGTCTTAACTGAACAGAAATTAAAGCATTTCCTTTTTTCAAAGCGCCAGTAAACGTGCAGAAGTAAAAAGTCAAAATAGGAAGTAGTCCAGATGCTCTCAACAACCTTAGAATTAATAATAATGCACTTACTTATGGGGGGAAAAGTCATGGATTTTTATCAAGGGATGCATCAATGGCATTGCACCAGAGTCTCCCCCGTCTCCCAATCTGTCAAATACCATTAAATCCATGTCTAGCAGGAGAATTAAAGCAACCTGCCTCACAAACTCTGCTTCATTGCAACAGGCCTATGCAGTCCAATTCATAACACAAATAACACAATAACAATGCTATTCTACACTACGGTTCCATTGCTGCAGATGACAACAGTGCAACCCACATTTGACATTTATTCACGGGCGTTTGTTTGCTGAAAGCAGATAAGGAGCTGTGACAGGGGCGACTGCTGCTACTGTGGCTAGGCTAGCTCGAGCTAACACCAACACTGATGGGTTTCCAAGGCAGGAGCGCGAGCTAGTTAGCATTAGCATCCTCAGCAGCGCTCAGTCAAGCAAACATTGACAAGGTAGCTAAAGGCGAAGTGGCAAGCAGCGGAGGATGTGTTTACCTGGAAAATAGCTCACGGGTGTTTGGTGTAGCACTGCCTCAGCCCCCCCACCCTCCTCTGGGTGTAGCTGCTGGTACGTGTTGCCAGTCTGAAGCTGCTGGTGCTCAGTTATTACGCCGTATTTCCCCCCCGACATACACGGTCTATGCTCAGGACGCTGCCATGTTCATGTTAGCAGCACCCGAGTGGGACTGCGCATGCGCCGCGGACGGCTGTCATGCGGCGGTCAGCTGATTGGTTTGACTCCGCGATGAATGGCTGAGCTGGGGAGAGTGTGGGCTGTCATCTGTGCGAGTTTGGCAGGGTTTCCCCTCTTGTTCAAGCGTTTAGAATAAAATCAATTCAACAGACGGGTTCAACAGACAGTTCCAAGTGGCTCTAGGATGGATGGTCAGGATGGGTTGTAGTCAAAACTGCAGCAGAGATATAGCTTGAAAGTAAGCGAAGTCTGCCCTCTAGTGTCAGGACTACGCACTCACACGTTGTTATAGGCTAACTTTAAATGAAAGTTGATGTAGAATAGACATTTAATTTTTTTCCTACTTATAAGAAAAATCCTTGTGAATCACTATGTTTACGGTTTGGGCTGAGATCTTATTGAATGAGCAAGGGTAATCCTCTCACTTTTTCTGTCTGGAAAAGTTCTTCTGAAGACGTGACAATGTTGGTCCATGTGAAAAATGATAGAATAAGACAAATTTTAGTGGGTTGTAAGAATAGACTGGTTTAAGCTGTACCCTAGCTTTAAAGTGCACAATCTGTAAGTACTATACTGGTGCTGCTTGTCTAGTCCAGCACTAATTGTCCCTCCTCCCATCTATTTAGACAAGGCTCGTTAATGTTTGCCATTTGAGCACAAAGGAACATTACTATAAAAACATATTGGAATGAAATCAAATGTGCAATGACATCATGAACTTGACTTCTGCTCCTTTAGCAGTACTGAGTTGGTCAGTCAAGGCTGCAGTAGTAGGCCATTGATCGTTGTACTTCAAAGCAACTGGAACACTAAAAATACTCTGTAATAATTGCACATTTTGATACTAGCCCATTTGAACAAACTAATTAATATACTCAACTTGCATGTGCTCTATAACTATTTACAATAACATTCTATGTTCTATTGAGAATGCAGTCCCATTCAAAGCAAATGGCCAATGCATACATGACCCTGTCAGTCCTGCAGCCCGAAAGGGTCCAAATGTCCCAACACCAAAATCAAAGTAGCACTATAAAATACCAAGCATAAACGTGACATGAGAATAAATATATCTCTATGACTCACCGGGACTGAAGGTAAAGGGGGAACATCTTGTCTGTTGTCACGTCTGGCTGTTGTACAGTGAATTGGAGCAAGACTGGACTGAATGGTCACGTTATAAGGCATCTGATTAGGGGACTAACCATGCGCTGCCCGTTAGTCTAATTCAATTAGAGCTAGAGAGACATAAGAAAAAAGTTATTCTTTTAAAGTTGGAATTCATTATTCATTGGTTTACAAGATAGCGGTGTCCAAACAGATGTTTTGTCATGTTTTATTAAATTGCTTTCTTGTATAAACTGTGGCATGAAATTCAGGCGAGAATCACTGTCACTATCTGAAGTATGTGCATGCTACAAAAGTTCAAAGAGGTCAATTAGTGTCAGACACAAAAAGGAATCATGACCTCATGGTGCACTCAACTCAACTGACACAATACAAACTTGTGTGAGTGGGATAGAGTCTCATCGATTATGCTGTCAGACCAAAATAACAATATTGGAAATGTTACAAACTTGTTCTGAGCATGAAGGAACACTTGTGCATGACCGTCATGTTAATCTATTATGTCCATCTTTCATGAGAACACCCACTGAAATCTGTAAATGTGTATAAAAGGCCTTCACCTTTTTTTTTTCTCTTTTACATGGATTTTTAATTGTTATTAAAGGTTTGTACTGTAATCAGTCACCACAAGGTGTCAGACTTCCACCATTCTGAATTCTAAATGTGACTACATTTATTACACGGTTGAACATTAGATATTACTCTGTTAAAGACCAGTTTTATCCATATTTTTAGACAAATGTAAGTGACCAATTTGTCACTGTGATGTGAAAGTATTTTCCTTTGACAAATCTGCAACTATATCTGACTTGAGTTTTCAGGAAAATGTCATATTATTAAAACATGACTCATATCCGGTCCCTGTATGACCGGAGCCAGAGCTGTGTTTGCATTGCCGGCAGTAAGTCAGACCTGTTCCCGGTGCATGTTGGCCTCCGCCAGGGCTGCCCTTTGTCACCGGTTCTGTTCACTGTATTCATGGACAGAATTTCTAGGCGCAACCAAGGGTCGGAGGGGGTCCGGTTCGGGGACCACAGGATTTCATCTCTGCTGTTTGCAGACGATGTTGTCCTGTTGGCTCCAACGAACCAAGACCTGCAGCATGCACTGGGACGGTTTGCAGCCGAGTGTGAAGCGGCTGGGATGAGAATCAGCACCTCCAAATCCGAGGCCATGGTGCTCGACCGGAAAAAGGTGCCTTGCCCTCTCCAGGTGGGTGGAGAGGTCCTTCCTCAAGTGGAGGAGTTCAAGTATCTCGGGGTCTTGTTCACGAGTGAGGGAAGGATGGAGCGTGAGATTGACAGGCGGATCGGTGCAGCGTGTGCAGTGATGCGGTCTCTGTATCGGACCGTGGTGGTGAAGAGGGAGCTGAGCCGAAAGGCAAAGCTCTGAATTTACCGGTCAATCTTCGTTCCCTCCCTCACCTATGGTCATGAGCTTTGAGTAATGACCGAAAGAACAAGATCGCGGATACAAGCGGTCGAAATGAGCTTCCTCCGCAGAGTGGCTGGGCGCTCCCTTAGAGATAGGGTGAGGAGCTCGGTCACACGGGAGGAGCTCGGAGTAGAGCTGCTGCTTCTCCACGTCGAGAGGAACCAGTTGAGGTGGCTCGGGCATCTGTTCCGGATGCCTCCTGGACGCCTCCCTGGGGAGGTGTTCCGGGCATGTCCCACCGGGAGGAGGCCCCGGGGAAGACCCAGGACACGCTGGAGGGACTATGTCTCTCAGCTGGCCTGGGAACGCCTTGGAGTCCCCCCGGACGAGCTGGAGGAGGTGTGTGTGGATAGGGAAGTCTGGGCGTCTCTGCTTAGACTGCTGCCCCCGCGACCCGGCAACGGATAAAGCGGAAGAAAATGGATGGATGGATGGATGGACTCATATTCAATTATGAAAAATTCTTCTTTTTAATAATAATATATCTTAATTTGCATTACACATAACCCTAACCCAAAAACAGTATTTACAAAATGCTGCAAAATCACCATAAAACAATGCAAAAAAGTACATGAAAGTCAAAATAATACAAAATATCAAGAATAAATACAGGTTAATAAAGCAGACAGAAGGCATACAACAACAAAAACGAAAAAGATCTTCAAGTAAGTTATTTCCATAGACGTAATTGTTAGTTAATGCTAGTGGATTTGAGTCGATTTGAGTTCATTCCATGGATCTATAATAATTCACATGACCTGTGAAATGGTTAACCTGCATGGTCCTACGCCGTGACGTCAGACGCACTTGTCTTCGGGGTCCGCTACTGGGACAGTTTTTCCTAAAGTCCTTTCTCTCTCACAGCACCAGCGCAGCACACGAGACTAAATATTTACAAAATGGGCAACTGTCAAGTGAGTACTATCTCAACTATCTATTTATATTCACCAACACATTACTTATGTTACTGACCAAATTACGTGCGTTGGTCCCATATTTTTGCGATAACTTTTGTAGATTCAAATCACGTTAGTCACACGCTCATTCAGTCCTTCTATCCGATTTTTTTCCCCTGAGTTTGACTGCAGCGTTATGGTTATATCCAGCGACGGATCGGATTTCTCAACAAATATTTTCTCATAAATGACACGGTCGCATCACCCTTGTTTATGTGTCGATTTCCACACACACACATATATATATTTATTAGGCCTTTATAGTTTCTGCGTGATCCAGGGGCCGTGTGTGTGTAGTTTTTTACGCAGAGAAAAAGCAGCCACTCCCCTGCGGAATTCTGCGCTGCTCCGTTAGATGTGAATGAGAAGCTTTCTGCCTCAGCTCTGGGTTGAACTGACCAAACAGCGCACTATGGGGGAGGGTTTTTCACATGTTTTCACTTTGACTGATCTTACTTCAGTCAGACCAATGACAAAATGTGTGTGTAAAGGGAAAAAAAATATAAACTTTGACCAGTGACTACTCCCATCCCCCCCCCCCCCCCCCCCAAATTTTTTTTATAGTTTGCCACCAGATTTATTAAAAGTATGACATTTATGCGTTTGACCATGACTTGGTTTTACTACGTGATAAAATAGCTTAATTAAAATTGAAATACAGGAAAAACCGTTTGTTAAAAGTTTACTGACGCTGACAGTAACGGCAGCGTTGCTATGGTAACCACGTACAGGCCCTAAAAACAGCAGTCGTCTCTGATAACTTTACTAAAGTTGTAGATTCTTCAACAACAGATCAGAGAATCAAACACATACAACGCATAGAAGCCATTGAACCATAAGAGAGGGAAGACCAATCTCCATAATTGTTAATATATGTGCATAAATGTCCCAGATTATCACTTTCCATGCAGTAGCAACTTGGTAAGGAGGGTCCTCTTCTCTGGTGGAAAACTAACTGACAGCTCAGAACCAAAACCAGTCCAGGACCAGTCCAAAACCAGTCCAGGACCAGTCCAAAACCAGTCCAGTATCAGCATTTGGAAAACAGGGCTCTAACCAAGCAACTGAAAAAGGCAACATTTTAATTTTACGTTCATATGAATGGAGCTAAAAGCAGAACTCCAATGTTAAGTGTAATGTATCTTAACATATAGGGCATATACAGTGTCATACTGGGCCTGCTATTCTTCCAACTATCTCTAGATTCAAACACTCTCTTGGCTTGGTCCTCGCTCATATCCCCCTGTGTGTAACCCATGCCTGGCCCCATCAAGTTTGTTTAAAGATTGTGGTCCTGAATTCCACTGTGCATTGTGTCCCCTCCCCCTCCGTCAGCTGCTGTTGGATTACTATCATCATTATCCCTCACAATTATCAGTTTCACTCACAATCAAAACATTCATCTCCTCAGCCTACCATTGTTCCCTATGAGGACTTTGATGTCGTGGCAGATATCAAGGCGATCCGGAAAGCCTGCAAAGGGCTGGGTAAGTTGGCGAAAACAAGCAAAAAGTGACTTGTGGAAGATGAAAAACTGTAAACATGTTTGTCATTTTCAGGCACGGATGAGCAGGCGATCATTGACATCCTGGCATATCGCAGCTCGGATCAGAGAATGCAGATAAAACAGGCGTACTTTGAGAAATATGACGATGTAAGTAACTGTACTGACACCTACTACTAACATAATTATTGTTATGGATCATTCTTTTTTGTGCTGTGTTCAATATAAGCAATGTAGTCTTCCCAAAACATAGAGTGGATATCAAATTACTAACTACTCAATTCAAAATACATGGTTTTATTGTGTGATGCAGCTACCTAAGAACTTTCCTCCATTGCAGTAAAACATTCATTAAATATTTACTAGCTCTCAAACAGACTGATAAGGACTTCCTGAATCATTCACTCAGACTTTTATCTAAAGTATTGTTTTGTCTGTGTTCCTTAAAGCTAGTACAGTCTAGTGTCAACAAAAATAAACATGTTGATTACTTCACAGACTAAAGAATGAACCCAAAATGAAATGAGTAATAATCAATACAAATAATCCCCCCACAAAATATAGTCGTTTTGTTTTCCTTTGGTCATTATGAACCTTATGCTACTTTACTATACATCTGTAAACCAGTCTACAATACAGTCATCCTTCCCCTTTTCGTTCTATTTCTATTTAAACATAACAGTATTCACTTTTTCCAGAAATCATAAAGGACTTTTTAAAGCCATCCAAAAACACGTACAAATATAATAAATATGTGTATAACACAAACAAAAACTGTTGCTGCCTGGTGCTGAAAGCCAAAGAGCAAAGATGCAACGATTTTAAGTGTTTAGGGCGAAAGTCAGAGCAGAGTTTATGGACTTTTATTATTTTTATTCAAGTTTTAGTAGCAATAAGGCACACGTTTATTGTAAATTGGATTCCCCAGAGTAAATGTTTTAAAAGTGCATTACGTTTTGACCATCAGCTTTTGGTTTAGTTAAACTGCAGCTTATATTCAAGTGCGGCCTTAATGTGGAGTAAATTCACTTTATTTTCAATTTAAGCTGGTGCAGTTTATTCACAGGTGCGCTCGATATCTCCTATATGTTTATCTATCTATTTCTATGGGGTGAAGAAATTGTGAGCACTAGAAAATTCTGCAATTGATGGCTGTCACTAATGTCTATTCTTTATTCAGATTTAATACATAAACATAGAATATGCTGATAACGTACAAATTCAGTAATCAATTATCAAAATGTATAATTCCTATATATGTATAAATTATTATAAAAATGTCTGTCACCACATGTTTTAGGGTCTATACAACATATAACAGAAACACACTCCTTAAATTAAAGCTGAAGAACCTGACTTTCAAACCAATAAAATAGATCTATGTAATAAAAAGCTGTTTGGAACTATCATTATCACTAGTTTTCACACATGTGTTTTTGTTTGTCTCTCTATCAATATAGACAGAAAAGTTGCTAATAGAATTCTCAACCCACATTTTTGGTTCGCCATAATCCGACAGAGTTATTGCATGGGTGGTGTTTGCCTCAGGAGCTGGTGGACGTGTTGAAGAGTGAGCTGTCAGGGAGCTTTGAGAAGGCCATCCTGGCGATGCTGGACCCGCCTCTGGTCTACGCCGTGAAGGAGCTCCGCAGGGCCATGAAGGGGGCCGGCACCGACGAGGACGTCCTGGTGGAGATCCTCTGCACTGCCACCAACGACGTCAGTCCCTGAAGTTTAGAATACTGTCTGATAGGTTTGTGTTTTTAATTGTCTGTTTTTGCTCTGATAGGACGTTGCCATGTTTAAAGAATGCTACATGCAAGGTAGGTCTGCTACATTTCTCATTCATCCACTTTCTTCCTGTTTTTCTCACCTCTCAATTTGACCACCTGCAAATATGTACGCCCCTGAAAGCCTTTGGACAAACATACAATAGCCCCAATAGAAAGAGTCTAGTAAAATATTTGGAATAGATTGGACTTCAACATGTTTTCTTCAACATTGTACCTTTTGCATAATGACAAAAGAGCCCTTTGAGTCACTATTTGTCACTTTGAGCTGAGCGTTGGTGGTTCACGTTTCTGTCTGATCTAATGTGACACAGGCCTGAAACCTGAAAGACCCATTATTCATTATTAAGAGCAAGAAACAAGACAGATGTTTTTTACAAGACATAGTTATATTTCTGTGGTTTGAAAGTTAGGTACCCCAGCTTTAACCCAGCAGACTACCCCAGGACACACTTTGGTGGCAGATTGTTTTAGAGTTCCTCCAATTTGCTGTTTTCCCGTTGACCTTGATTAGAACCTTTGATATGTCTGTAGCGCACGACAACATCCGTGGTCATATTTGGGAAACGCTTTTGAAGGAAGTCCCTATTGTATTGTAACAGAGAGCTGATCAGAGTTAAAAATAAAAATAAAAATCATGAAAATCAACTCTGGTACTGAAAAAAATGTCACTTACTGAAGCAAAAGTGAAGAAGTGCAAATGTTTGAATGAACTTGAGTAAAAAAGTAAATGATGGTTATTTGACTATCATTGAACTGCTGTAGAAGCGTTTCTTACTGGCCCAGAATAGGATTTGAAATTAGAAGCATGGCTAACAACTTAAAACGTGTATCAGCCCATGTGACATTTGACTTTGAGATTCACACTTGACTTTTTTGTGTCACGTCGCCCCCTGCAATTTAACCTGACATATTTTAAATGTTAGGAGAAGCAAAAACAGATAATTGGGTTAAAAAAAAAAACTTCTATAGTTCTGATTAGCCACTTTTGACACCAAGGATTACCTGCAGATTCTCTCTCTCTGCTCTCTCTCTGTTCTCTGGTCTATTTCTCTGGTCTCTCTCTGGCAGAAATTACACGGTAGATACATTTGAACCCGGTTTCCATGTTGTAATTTTTAGTCCATGAACGAGATCTGGAGGCCGACATAGAGGGCGATACCAGCGGCGACGTCCTGAACCTTCTGGTGGCCCTCTTACAGGTGAGTGGCCTTGGGTTTCTCCCGCAGCACTAGAGCTGTATCCGATGACGTTTGGCCGCAGGACTGAAAATAGAGCCCTCACTCTCGCTGAGGCCTATAAACGCTGGAACTGGCCACGACCCAAACTCTCCCTCGTTACCAAATCAGACTCCAGATTGAATTCCCCAAGTCAAACAGAAGGCTCTATGTCTCACTGCAAAAAACCGCTTTTCTAGGGGAACAGAGACGAGTCGTATGAAGTGGACGAGGAGCTGGCGGAGCAAGATGCCACGGCGCTGTTTGAGGTGAGACTTTTTCATATTTGTGTGTTTAATGTTTGTGTTTGTGCTGTGTTTGTGAGCGTTTATCGATGGCCGTGAATGTGCTGATTCAGGCCGGTGAGGAGAGATTTGGGACGGATGAGTCCACGTTCAGCTACGTTCTGGCCGTCAGAAACTACCTCCAGCTCCAGGCCACGTTTAAAATCTATGAGCAGGTATGTGCCATTAAGTTAATAATCATTATCATTATTATTATTATTATACTTAATTCATGTTGTATCAGGTAATAGCAGAAAACACAATAGTCTATTAGTAGCAGCATAGGCATAACTATCATTGGGGAACTGTTGTGACTATTACACAACAGTTAACAGTTATAGTTAACAGTTATACTATTATACTATTAGAAAATAATCTTTTTCCTTATTAAATTGGTCAGTTATATAAGTTGTATTTTTGTATGGTATGTTTACATACATATATCTTTAAATACATTTGACCAAAAGTGTTGATTGATTTGAATAAGTGCACTTTTCCCGCTAAAGCTTTCTGGGACTGAGATTCTGGACGCCATTGAAAATGAAACTTCTGGGACTCTGAAGAAATGCTTCAAAGCTCTTGGTTTGTTTTACTTTTTACTAAATACTTTTAATTATTTCTGCATTTTTCTTTACCATAGTGTAATGGCTGTTTTATTTCCCATTAAGATAAGGCTAATTTGTTTTGGTAGGCACCTATGCTTTATTTTGTGTGTGTTTGGGTGGGGCCAGGTAAAGTGCACTTCCTCTTATTGACAGTAGGGGGAACCAGTGAGTATAATGTGGAAGCTGACCTGGGTTTGGGCTTAGCAGTTACTTGACTGTGGAAAACTGCATTGGATGTTTATTGAAACTGTTCATTTGGACCCATGAAACCTGTGCCTCCGTTACAAACACATTTATCCATTATTCCGTAAGTCTGGACATTCAGTCTGTTTATTTTTTACGTCAAGCTAAAGCTATAGACCTGGCTGCTATAGCCCTGGCTGCTATAGCCCTGGCTGCTATAGCCCTGGCTGCTATAGCCCTGGCTGCTATAGCCCTGGCTGCTATAGCCCTGGCTGCTATAGCCCTGGCTGCTTACGGTGGCAAGACACTCTCAGCAATTGCCTCAACACATATTACTACATACTGAAGGCATTACTAGGCTGCATGTTCATGTGTTTTCAATTTCTGTAAGACCGATCGATTTAGAAAGAGGGAGAGAGAGAGACCAGAGAGAGAGACCAGAGAGAGAGATCAGAGGGACCAGAGAGAGAGACCGGAGCGAGAGATCGGAGAGAGAGACTGGAGAGAGAGACCAGAGAGAGAGAGACCAGAGAGAGACCAGAGAGAGAGACCAGAGAGAGACCAGAGAGAGAGACCAGAGAGAGAGAGACCAGAGAGAGACCAGAGAGAGACCAGAGGGAGAGACCAGAGAGAGAGAGACCAGAGAGAGACCAGAGAGAGAGACCAGAGAGAGACCAGAGACAGAGACCAGAGAGAGAGACCAGAGAGAGAGACCAGAGAGAGAGACCAGAGAGAGAGACCTGAGAGAGAGACCGGAGCGAGAGACCAGAGAGAGACCAGAGAGAGACCAGAGAGAGACCAGAGAGATATAAGAACTGCTTCTGTCTTATTCCTTCTTTGTTTTTACATTTTGGGTGGTTGGTCCAACAAAACTTTGGGAAACTCACCACCATCATTTCAAACACAGTATTAATTAAAACTTTAACTGTTCGTAGGTTTGTATTGTAATGATTCAGAAGAAGTCATTTGTGATTCCTGGTTGATTAATGTTAAAGCTGATATCACTTTTACATCTTTTTCTATTGATGATGTTATCTTTTTCAGTGAGAGGAGCTAAGAACCCACAGCTGTATTTCGCCAGACGAATTCACGACGCCATGAAAGGAGCCGGCACCGACGAAGACACTCTCATCCGCATCATCGTGACCCGCTCTGAGGTAAAAACACTCAGAAATGATTTATAACAAGTAAAATAGGTGTTTTTGACCATGTTTTGTGTTTACAGTATGACCTGGAGACCATCAAAGACATGTATTTAGAGAAGTATGACGTGTCTCTGAAGGACGCTCTGAAGGATGAGTGTAGCGGCGACTTCAAGCGCCTCCTACTGGCCATCTGTCACTAAACACCAAACACAATGTAACCATAGCGATGTGTAGGGCTGATCCATGTGTCTGTTAAATTAACTGTGCTATGTTCTATGTGTACTTTTATGACAAATCCACCTCGGTCTGGCCGCCTACTGCCTTATTTTGGGGCTCAGATTTTTAACCTTTTTAACAACTTTATGTTATTTTTTATTGAAAGATTTTTAACATTGTGAATAGCACTGCTACTGTTGCAAGTTAGAGCCGACATGTCGTTCACTACGGCCACAGCGGGAGCAGACAACAACGTTTTGCTTTTTCAACACTAGGACTCCCAGAGCAGTCAATTTGACGGCATATTTATATTTTTGGTCTTCACAAGATGACTTTTTCTGTCTCTAAATGTAGTTTATTTTATATATATTTTTAAATGTTTGGAAATCTCCCTTTAACTATAACAGTTTCTTGGTATCAATGATCTATGGAGGTTAAAGCCCCGTTGTCATGGTTCTGGACTAGTTCTGCACTGATTCTAGACTAGTTCTGGGCTAGTCCTAGACAAGTTTTTGACTGGTAATGAACCGAGTCAACTTGGTTTTCCACCAGAGAAATGACCATAGTTACCATGGCAACACACTGCTTACTTACAGCAGTTAGTATTTAGCGTTTCACCCAAAAATAATTTCTGTATTTCTGTTGTATTCACCAGTTTTCAGCACTCATTAAAAGTGAGTCAAGGAAAAAAAAAACTTACATTACTTACCTTTTTTTAATCTGAGAATTTTTCAGAATTTCATTGTTGTCTGAATTGGAGCAGGCAAAATGACAGCTCTGGGAGTTCCAGTAGTTTCACATTTCTGGGAGTCTAAAGTGTTATTTAAGTTGGAGTTAATGCTCCTCTGTTACCTATGGGCATTTTGCTTTACACTTGGGTGAACCTGGCCGCCGTCTCTGCACTAAGTTAGACTAACGCAATCTCCATTAGGCTTGAATACTTTACATGAAGAATACGGTAGCGATACTTGGAAGAGTGAAGGAACTGAAATGTTATGCAAACCGTTGCCTCACAGTTGCACATTGAAGATTATATATTTAGTTACATGAATATTTCAAGATTTGCTTAGAGTATTTTTCTTAGCTTTTTAACTATTACTCCTTATGCTGGCTGTGCTGATGCTAACCAAATGCCTGTAGGTTCTTGTTTATGCTCGGAGACTTCTGGCTGCTGTATTTCAATTATATGGCTTCTGTTGAGTTGTCGAACTGCTGAGAAAACTGATGTAATACCACTTTTACAGAGACTTTCAGAGAAACTGTACGAAGGCATTCACAGAAACTTGAACTTTGTCGTCTCTGTAGCCAAACGTTTCAGATTAGCTGCTGATAAAGTCTATTGTGATGAATTTTATTGATTTGTGCTGTTACATTTTTAGGTCAATTTCTATGACAATGAACCAATGATAACACTGTATTGAATTACAATTATAAATATATGCATGGCAATAATAAAAATAATAAGTAATGAAGCTGGGGAGCATAACTGTTTTGTTTCATAAATACATTATTGTCTTGAAAAAGTGAAATACAACATAATATAATTCCTATTTCCAAAGGTTAATTTCAGTTTTGCATCATCATTTACAGGACAGTAGTAATGAGGAGCACACCGTACAAGATAGTGAAGTATGAATTTAAAATAATGTATATTCTAGAGCAAGAAATATATATTATGAAAGGGGAGGATGGTGTGGTGTGTTGAGTGGTACTTTTGTATGCCTAAAGTTGCTCTTTTAATTGTTTTTATTATTATTTTGTTTGAAAGTTGCTATTAAGTGACGTAGCCTATTCACTGCCTCTTTCCACGGTAGGATTTTTGGCTACTCAAAAAACAAACAATCAACATAGATCACACTGAACACATTACACCACAAACAACTACGGGACACACAATTCAGGGTTCAATTACTCAAAGTATGGTCTTGTTTGACACTTTTTTAGTGGTTGAATCATTGATGTATTGCGGTTGAAGTCTCTGTAAAATCCTACGCTCTTGAAGGCGGCAGTGCGGAAGAGCCCTCCCTCTGCAGACCGGACCTGCCTCCGCTGTATTCATGTTGTGTTCCGTGTTCTATGTTATTGTGACTTTATTTTGATTTCTGAACAAAGTGAGAGTGACCAAAGCTGGGGTCAGGACTGAGGCGTGTGTTCAGCCCGTTTTAGTCCACGTAAGTCTGTGTTTTCAGCCATTTATTGACCCTTTCCCCACCGCCTTTTCTCCTTCAGTCTTGTTAATTATACATGTATTAGCTTCCATCTTAGACTGAGGGGCTCCCAGCGATAATTAAGTACTGCTGGGAGAAAGGGCTGATATATCCAGTATATCCACTTCATCACAGCGGTCCACCTCAACTATGGTGAGGAATAGTAATGGTAAAGCTTGTAAACACGTTTGCTGGATAATCTATTGTAGGGCTATAATTGGTGGCAAAATAAATAGGGCTGGGAACTGGCAAAAATGTGACGATTTAAGAGTAATGCGATATTTGTGCCACAATTCAACATTATTGCAATTCTGAACATTGTGATACAGCACGTTTTGCGATTCGATTCTGCGATATATTGCAATTCATGTCTCATTCAAAGGCTTTACAAAAAAATTGGAAAATAAAACTCAACTCAAATGTCACATTTGATATGATCTGCACATAAACTGAAGCAAAAACTTAGAAGGGAAGTGAAAAGACTTTATTCCTGAACATTCAGGACACAGGACCTTATTACAGACCAGACATCACTATTCTCTGAGTAGATGACTCTCACATGAACGGCGAGCTCCCAGCACATCCCTTACATTATTTAAATACAATAGTCTAAAGTCACAAAAAGCAGACACCATAGAGGAACATGAACCTCAGATGTAAACTCAGAAAAAAAACAAAAGGGAAAAGGGTTACAATTCTCATGTTTTTTTCTGTCTAACCTCTACATATCTGACAGGTTTACAATAAAATCCACCATTGCTTGTATTCACCTTCCATAACGTCATGGTTCATTTTCAAATAAGTGAATTAAACATCAATCACTGGTCGATTCAGAATGAAAACTGTCCTGTGTCCTGCAGCATTTACTCATCAGAAGTGATGTGGCTGGAAACATTCGTCCTGTTTCCTGATGCTGCTTTAGATGTACTGATGATGTACTGATGATGTACTGATGATGTACTGATGATGTACTGATGATGTACTGATGATGTACTGATGATGTACTGATGTGTAACTCGGTCTCTGACCTATCCTTCACGCAGCAGTGCCATGTCGTCTGTGTGGCAGCAGGAGGCGTCTGCGTACTCTCCTTGTTTGGAGATAGACTCCAGCTCTGTGAGGTCCAAAGGAAAGCAAAGCTCCACGTCATGGATGAAACAGGAACCGGACGATTTTCGTATAATCAAATTTGAGAACTTCCAGATGGGATCTTCTGATGTGGTCCAGGACAACACCCCCAGCAGCGCCATGTCAAGTATGAGGCCCTGAGTCCTCCACACACACAGTATATCATGAATGTTTCATGTAAATATATTGTCTGTATGTGTTATAGATACGTCCATGACAGAGGGACTGCCCCCACGGGTGCTGCTGACCATGACCAAGCTCCAGTGCATGTTGGAGAGCAAACAGGAGCGCATCATTGCTCTGGAGAGGCAGGTGGAGGACCTCATGCAGGACCGACAGTTCCTCAGGAGCCAGATTGAGAACCTCACCAGTAACCTGTCCTTACAGACCTTCACAGCTCATACTTCAATGGCCGAAGGTTAGTCACAGTGCTTTGTCTGGGGACACAGATTTACTTTATTTATTTTATTTATTTATTCTTAAGGATAACCCCTTGAGATGAACCATCTCTTTTTCAAGGGGGTCCTGTGACAACATGAAAAACAAACATTTTATGATTTACAAAAAAAAACATATAAAGAAAAATAAGGGAACAGAATTCCAAACAAATAACATTCACATTCATTCAGCACCGCACTTCCAGAGCCCCCCCATCACCCCCCCACAGCTGACACTATCCAAGGGTTTCAGAGTCATATTAACTTGATTATGAATTGTTGTAGACTGAGAGCCCCAACCGTTGAATATAATCTTATTATATCTTAATTATTATTAAAAAAATTTCATAATAATAAAAGTGATTGGTTATAATTACATTATAATTAAATGACTCTATCCCAAACATGCTTATTTTGACAATAATATAAATATGTGTTTCTACTTTTTAGTTCCCAAACCAAGCAAAACCCATAGTTCTGAAACAAAGTCGCGTAAAAAAGAGCGAGGCTTTTCCAGTTCCTCGTCCAACAGCGACAGTGACGGTGACGACTCTGAGGTCTCTGAGGTATCGGGCGCCTCCACGGAGCAGAGGAAGAGGAAGCATCACAAAGACAAGAAAAGATCCAAAAAGACCAAAGACTACAGTCGCAAAAGAGGCAAGTTGAATAAACTCCAACCTCAGTCTGAAGCTTGGCTTTGACCCTTTCCTGTCTGTCTCTTTGTCTCCAGCCACTGGAATCCAGTACGTCATCCACCGCTACAAACAAGTGCTGACCGCCTTCAACAAGAGGAAGAACATGAGTGAAGCCTTCCGCCATTATGGGATCGACAGGAACACGATTGCAAACACAGCGTCTATCGCAGAAGTGGAACTGGCTGGGAAAGACTTGGTTCGCTTGGTGGGCTCGTTCCGCCAAGGAGAGGAGACTCTGGTGGCCTACGCCCAGAAGTGCACCATGATCATCGACAGTGATCCAGACCTGGCCAGAAAGATCGACCAGATGAAAGCCAACGGGGAGCTGCTGCCCATCGCAGGAAAAAGATCAAGGATGATGATGCATGGGCTTCTGCCGCCACTAGGTGGTGCTGGTGATGCTATTCTAATAGGCTGAAGCTTTGGGCTGAAGTCCAGAGACATTCAATATATTCTTCCAGTGTTGGAAAATGATCATTGTGACTCCAGCAAAAAGCATCTGTGCTTTGCTGATCTGCTGTTGTTAAAAAACGAAAAAAACCTCAAAGTTTTAAACCAGAACAAAACCAGGATTTAGATTTATTTTTTGTATGTGAGCGATGGAATGTGGGTCACAGTGTTTGGAGCAGACCTTCTACACCAGGGGTCGGCAACGTTTGTGCCTGTTTGAAATTTTCTTCTCATCTAGTGTGCCATTACCATCGATAAACGCAAAGTTAAAAATGACACAAAATACATAAACATTTCCAATATACTTGGAATTTTATTCTCAACAATAACAGTATCTGTATTTCAAAATAATTTATAAACATTTCAAAGACTGAAAAACAGCTAGTGTAGCATATAACAATAGTAAGTCCAGTGAACAGATTGTATTTGGGCTCAGACCAGAAGCTAAGATTGGGCTCACAGAGGGAGAGGTGTTTAAAATCACAGACAACAAAGACAGTGGTATGGTCCAGATGTGAATTAAAAGATAGATATTAGGGGTGCAACGGTTTGAAAAAAAATCACGGTTGGGATCGTACCTCGGTTCAGTTCATTTTTCGGTTCATTTTTCAAAAAAAAAAAAAGGTTTTGTCTATTTAATAAACACGGCTCCTGTGGACTCGGCACCTGCAGGAGGATCAGTGAGGGGCTGGTGCTCTGTGACTGGGTGCAGCTCTGACTGCCACCCCCCTGACCTAGAAATGGATTAAGGGGAAGAAAATGGATGGCATATTCCATCCATCCAATTATGTCTTTTTAACATAATTAATGAAAAAACAAAATGCAACATAAGAAGGCACTTTATGAGAATATTTACTCTCATATATTAAACCACCTGATTCTCCCAAGGAGGGGGTCCATTCTGGGCCCAGCCTCATTCACTGCATTTATTTAATTTTTGGCATTATCAGTTGTGACTGGGATATTAGTACTGGGCCTTTGTCTTCCATTCCTCCGCTGCTGTGTCAGTACCTGTGCTGTGTCAGTACCTGTGCTGCTGTGTCAGTACCTGCGCTGTGTGACTGTACCTGTGCTGTGTCAGTACCTGTGCTGTGTGACTGTACCTGTGCTGTGTCAGTACCTGTGCTGTGTGACTGTACTGACACACTTGACTTTCGTAGAGGGGGCGTGTCTGCAACGCCCGACTTTTCATCGCGCAGTCTGCAGTGATGAAGTGAGCGGTTATCGTAACATTTCATGGTTATCTCAACCGCTCATGGATCTATTATAGGTTCCGCGGGACGTCCAAGCGTCAGTCGTGAGCGCAACTGAGGATACGCGGGAGAGTAGACTTTAGCCCGGTCTGACTGTGCGTAAAGGGTCTTGGTCCACAGTATTTACACTGTGACTGTTTTGTCGACTATTTAATCATCAGTGTAGTTACAGTGAAGCCAAAATGCTCTCATACCGGGGATTTAAATGACACAGGCTTCTCTGTTCCTCCGCTCGCCATGATTACGCTGTGTGTGAACTAAACAACATAGTGGGAGTGCACAACTTTTTTTTCATAAATCAAACCGCGGATCACGTCTGTACCGAACCGAAGACGTTGATCTGAACAGATCACGGATCAGCGATGAACCGTTGCACCTCTAATAGATATTTACAAAGGCAGGGGATAGATTACACACACACACACCCCACATTCACAATATTTACAATATTTACAAAAAATAATTGAATGGGTTTTGAGTGAGAGAGTCCGGTTGAGTTGGGTTTGGCAGGTTGGTTTGAAAAGGTGGAGCGTGTACTTTGCAGTAATCCAGTTCAGGTTATTGTCTCAGTTTGTGGTGTTGTATGAGGGAGACTGCTCGCCTCCTACCACACTGTAGGGTTGGCAATCTCTAGGTTTTCGGCATCAGAAGAAGTCCATATGGACGGACGGATCCAAGGAACCTGGCCTGCATGACAGGACCAATATAAATATCCAACAGTTTCATTTAGCAATATATCACTACTACAAAAATACATGTACATGTTCAATAAATATATACTCAATAATCAGAGTGCTCATTCTCACTTCATAATTCACAAGTAATCCTCGGCACCATAAATCACAATACAATTCATTCAGTTCAGTGCACATATCAAAAATAAATGTATTAATACTTTTGGTTCAAGAGCACACAAGCAAATGTCATGCTCTGGTAACCATACATGAGCACATAAAAAGGCATAGTCGGCTACACAGGGAATCAACATGAGAACAACAATATTCGAGTTCAACATCGCATCAGAGGCTAGCGCTAGCATCCTAGCTCTGAGCAGCATAAAAATGCTTAAACTCACCAGTTCCCTCTTTGATTTCACGCACACAGTGTTGACAGCGTGTCACAATGATTGTAGGAGGCGTCTGCAGTGAATGGCACACCAGTTACTACTTTGAATGTGCAAAAAGAAGTTTAAATCTCGCATACACCTGCAGCTGCAGACTCCTGGCTTCACCCACAGCTACACACAGTGTGTGTGTGTGAGGGAAGCAGCTTATCCCCGCAGTGGTGTCCGCTGGGTCCTAGTGCCGGCCATCAAAAAGCGCTCAGACAAAGAGGGAGATGCTCTTATTTTTAAAACAGGACAGATACAGTGAGAATAATGCGGAGGTGCCGGCGTGCCAGTGTTTATTCCGCGGCGTGCCACATGTGGCACGCGTGCCCTAGGTTGCCGACCCCTGCTCTACACAATCACCAGAGCTAGGATTTATGTATCTACATAATTTGTGTTGAACTCACTTCAATAACACCTTGATTATTAATATTATACTTTTTGGTACATTTAAACCTTTCTACAGTGAAGTATTTCTTTGATTAGGTCGTGTGTAGTTTTAGAAACAGCCACAGGGTGGCAGTGTTGTCTTTAGTGATGGCCAGAGATTTTCACGGTCCTGGTTTTACACCAAAATGGAGGATGAAAGTCAATTTTTTTTATTTTTTATGCACAAATTCACTGTATCTTTGTTACAGTTATGATCCTTGCTTCTATAATTACAATAGTGACCCACTGGTGTTCATGAGTGGCACATTTCATGATAACAGGTCCACATACTGTTCATTTTTATAATAAATAGGAGATGTAAAGTGATGGCTCAGTGTCTGGTCACTAGGTTTCTGTGTCGCCTGAATGTCCTGCAGCAGGGAGCGAGGCCTCCTGCTGAGATATCCTTGGGCGATGGTAAGTGTCAGAGAGAGTGTCTTGTGCTGGTTGTGTTTCTCATGAGGTGACGAATGACTTGTGCGAAGCCATTACAGCGGCTGCACTGGGGCTGTTTATCTTTGCACGGGGCTCTGTCACTGTCACTCCCATTCCCACTCTGACTATCTGCTTATCTTTCATTCTCCAAAAGCTTCTGGCCCCACCCCCACGCTCACAATGCAGCCTCGTGAACTCATTCAGTCATCTCTCATCCATTCTATGTGTGTTTTCAACCTCTCTTAACCTATTCATCAGATTTTAAGATGCTCCGAGACACTCCTTACAAAACAAATGAACCAACATCATATTCTGTTATTGCAACTGATCATTGAACTGTATACCTTCCTATGTTAAGAAAAAATGCTCCTATAATAATTATCATGTCATTATTATTAAGATTAAGAGATCCTTTGTCCCACAGTGGGGAAATTTCAGAGTTGCATCACCAGTTACAAAACCGTACGAATGAGGAACACAAGATAAATGAACAACAGCGACTAAAATAAAGTCAAATCTCTAACTTAATCATGAAAGCAAGTCTAAAATCTTTAGCTTTAGCATCATGAAGCAAGTATCAGACACTATTGTTCCAGTGCAAGCAATCTATAGTTGTATGTTTACATCTGTACACGTCAGCAGCATGAGGGTGTCGACAATCAAAGGTTATTGTTCAAAAGGCGATAGGACAAAGTGACTACAAGAAACCTCTACCTTTCCCTAATTCTAAAGCCACTACACCTGGATCAATTCTCGTAACTGGGTGAAGCAATGATAACATCTAATGACACCGTTTCCGTTTTTTGAACAGCGTGTGCTTCGAGAGGCACTATTTTTACACCTGGCCTGTGTGCGTAGGCCGTTTGTATCGACTTCCACCTGCTCAGGCTCAGAGCGGCAGCTGTGAATTCACCGCTAATGACGGAGAGAGATGCAGCAGAGATCCAGGGGCAGAGGCCTAATCGAGCCTGAAGCCTCTACGCCTCCCAGCCACAATCCTAGCCTCCTTGCCTCCTCCCCTCCTTGCCACCTTGCCTCAATACTTGCCTCCTTGCTTTCAAACCTAGCCTCCTTGCCTATAGATCCTAGCCTCCTTGCCACCTCACCTCCTGGCCTCAATCCTAGCCTCCTTGCCACCTCACCTCCTGGCCTCAATCCTAGCCTCCTTGCCTCGATCCTAGCCTCCTTGCCTCCTCACCTCCTTGCCTCCTTGCCTCAATCCTAGCCTCCTTGCCTATAGATCCTAGCCTCCTTGCCACCTCACCTCCTGGCCTCAATCCTAGCCTCCTTGCCTCCTTGTCTCCTCGCCTCCTCCATCTGAGATTATATTCCCCTTCCAGTTTGTAGGCTCCACCGCTGCGGCCCCTAGGAGCCCCCCTGCCTTCACAACTTTGATCCTGACCTTGACAAAAGGCAGCAGCTGGAGGTTTTCACACACACAGAAGGGTGTAATGACCACCAATCATGCCTTTAACGGCCCAAGTGTAAATGTGTTTGAACCGGAGCGTGGTAATGGAGGCCTGGGTTATGTTTTGTTGTTGCACCGAGTGGTAACCTGCTGAAATGTAGGTGCAGCCGTCCTCGATACGAGAAACTTTGCGGAAAGACAGTAGAGAAATGTAGAGTCTAAGTCAAACTGTATGAAAAAAGCAATTACCAAAGGCCCGTTTCCACCAGCCCTACTCTACTCTACCCTACCCTAACCTACCCTACTCTACTCTACTCTACCCTACCCTACTCTAC